GTAAAATTTGGCTGAACGGCTGAAGAGTGAGCCGTCGACTTGGCTAAGGGGGAGAATTGGAGGACATTTCTTTACATGGGTCAGCCAACCGTCTCGCTTGCTGGCGTACAAGCAATGACCAATACGACGTCATTTGCAACGTGGAGTGGACCCATTTGATTTGGCTGGGCCCACTAGAAGTCAAAAGTGGGGACCGTAATACTGAGTGAACTATATTTTTAGTCCTTGTGCTTTGTTAAATATTGCTATTTTAGTCCCTGTGGTTTAAAAATAACATTTTATTGTCATTCTAGTTTGGAATTTGTTTCATGTAACTGACTCCATTAAATCACGAGCCTTCAAATCTTTTTACACTTTTATCTCATTTTCAACTAATATATATGTGTGTGTGTATATATATATATATAGACGGCGCACACACACACCAGGGGTCTTGATTTCAGGAACGGACCTACAGTGATGTATACGGTGACACGTGCCACCATATTATTCCTCCGTCGAAGGGTAAAAAAAATTTTGGTTTGTGAAAAGTGCAACAGTATTAATTTGTTGTGTGTTACCGTATGTATTTTGAAACTATAATGAGAACAAGTTTTTATTTGATAGAGTTGGTTTGCAAGACTTTTATTCCACTCCATACCCAAGTTTGAATCTTGTTAGTGTCGTTTTCTTAGTCAAGCGGTGTCACATTTTGAAATTTTTTTCGTATATTTGTTTCTTATAGTAAAACGGTGCCATCTTGTGAATATTTTTTCTTATATTTTTTTTCTTAGAGTCAAATGGTGTCACTGTTTGAGAAAATTTTATGGGTCCGTCCCTGCTTGATTTAAGAACCCATAAAATTGTGATAAACTTGAAAACGCGTCTATCATGTACTATTTCACATTATTTTTTTTCATTTACAGTTTGGATTTAGTGTATTTATTTCACAGTGTAAACATTTTTTATATGTTTGTGGAATAAATAATATAACTAAGAAGTTTCATATTGTGAATTGAATACATATGAAACAAATACATTGTGAAACAAATATATGTTAATCAATGTATTAAATTTTAGTCTTCAATGGAAAAAAATATCACGTAAAACACTACCTTAAGTTCTCAAATAATTAAGCCCTACATATGTGGGTCAAATTATATACGAACCGCAAAGAAATTGAAAAACATGAAAACCTATATATTCATTGATACATATACATTGATGAATTTCAGTGAGTAATGTATATTCATTGATGCATATACACTAATGAATTTCATTAGATATACATCAATGCATGTATATACTTGCAGGGTTGTATTTCGGTGAGAACAAAAGTAATGGTGAAGATGGTAAGAAGAGATCTCCATCTTTGGATCAATCTCAATTGAAGAGAACCACTAATCTACGCTAATGAGATACATTAGATTAATTCATTTCAAAAACATAGTTCGTGGGTTGTTTTGAATAAAAAATGATCAAGAGTCTAAATACATTATTACACTTCTCATTTTAACTCTTATTCTCACACGATCCATCATCTATACTTGCATACCTTATAGATAGACTTAATGATGAAACACATAGTTTGATAGCATATATACATCAAGAAGTATACAAGTTCTCATAGTTTCTCAAAGTTTTATGATCCCCAATGAGTGTGTGTGTGTGTGTGCACGTGTGTGTATGTTTATATATATATATATATATATATATAGAGAGAGAGAGAGAGAGAGAGATGAGTGATCAAATGAAAACCGCTTTCATTTGTGTAAACCTTGCAAACCACCTTCATCCGTCCATTTCATTGTTTAATATTATGAAATTTTTTCATGAAATTGTTTAATCTTGTGAAATTGTTTCATATAATACTTTTTTTTGATGAAATTGTTTCATATATGGTTGTGAAATTGTTTCAAATAATACTTAATGAAACTGTTTCATGTATTTCTCTAAAATTAATGAAACTGTTTCATCTATTTTTGTAAAATTAAAATAATAAAGATGATAATATCTATGATTAACACCCTCCACAATAAAAATGATTAATCAAGCTCTCATAATTACAAAAAAATAAACAAAATGAAAAATTATGATTGGTTGAATGAAGTTTGCATGATTTGTACAAATTGAGTGGTTTGCATTTGATCGTTCCCCTATATATATATATACACACACACGTTAGGGTTGGGTTCACGTGAGACTAACTTGTTTTTGTGAGACCAATGAGACCATTTTATAACACTTGATAACTTCACAGTAAAACGCTGTTAAGATAAAAAAAAAGTTGAACCTTTACAGTAAAAACATTGTGAATGTTATCTTCAAAATATTTTGCTATGAAGTTTCAAGTGTAAAAAAGTAGTCTCATGGGTCTCACCAAAACATGCTACTCTCACGTGATCCCAAGTCTCTCTCTCTCTCTCTCTCTATATATATATATATATATGTATATATCATACACATACACGGTTGAGTTCTAGTGATAAAAGAAGTTATGGTGAAAAACATAAGAAGAGATCTCTATCACTGAATCAATTATAACTGAATGTCAACACTAGTGAGGTGCACCGGGATACAACATATCACTTCTCTTCTAAAGTTCAATTCATTGGTGGATATGAGATTAAAAGTGATCAACCTGTTCAAACATTTTTTTACGTTTCTCACTATAATTTCCTTCTCTCACAATCATTCGCCTATATACACATTAATACACAAATTTTTTTGCATACAGGGACCAAAAGGGTAATAAAACAAAAACCACATAGACAAAAAATACAATCTTAAAATACAAGGATGAAAGTGACAAGTTTTAACAAACCATATGACAAATGGAATCCTAGTTTACTCTATTTTCTATTAAAGGAAAGTTGTTGGGCTTTATAATGATAACATTTCTATATTTGGAATGTTTGCCCACTTTGAAGTCTTGGTTTTTTTTATGCAAATAACCTTTTGATTTTGGTTTTTTATGTTATATAAATGTTTGAGAGAAAGTGGCAACATACATGGTATACAACACAAAAATTTGGTATCAATTTAATTGGTAACAAATATAGTTGGTTGATATATGATATAAAATTTTATGTTCATAATTTATACAAAAAATTTTATAATTGGTTAGTATATAATATAAGAAAAAGATGATGCCGTACTATGTTCAGGAACCAATTTCATCTGTTACTCATTTATTTTTGGAGATTTCTAAAATATTGTTATTTCTGTAAGTGGCACCTTCTCAACTTGCGAAAGCAGCTAAAAGACAAAAAAAAATCACTTTTCATCCTGGTCTGTAAGTGACACTTCCACAAATGGGTAAAAATTGAAAAAAATCATTTTTTATCCAAGTTCGTAAGTAACACCTCTGCAAGCAGGTAAAAATTGATTTTTTTTATTTTATGTATTAGTTTGCTTACAAGTAGAGGAGGTGCCACTTAAAAAGGTAAGGACTGTTTGACAGTTGCTGAATAGTTTGATGCAGAATGATTAAGTGACCAGACTGATTAAGAGGCTCTCATGATATAATGCAAAATGAAATATAATTGTTTACAATAGAATCAGAGTGTTGAATGGTTAAGGGGAAATTGTACCAAAATGGAACCAACTTTCACCTAATTTCTATTTTGGGGAACCAACTTTAAAAATCGTCATTTTAGGGAATCAACTTGTACCTGATTCCTATTTTGGGGAACCAACTTTCAAAATCGTCATTTTGAGGAACCAACTTGCACCTGATTCCTATTTTGGGGAACCAACTTTCAAAATCGTCATTTTGAGGAACCAACTTGCACCTGATTCCTATTTTGGGGAACCAACTTGTAAAATAATTATAAAAAAATAACTAAAATTCGTTTTTTTTTCCAAAATTTAATGTAATAAAATCTATTTTTCATTTCAAATCTCATTTTTTTAATTCACATATCAAATTGAATATGTTTAAAAAAAACCCAAATTACCACAATAAAAATTGTTTTTACTAATACAAAAAAAAATCAATTTAATAGAAAAAAAATAATTGATGCAATAAAAATTAAATATTAAATATAACATTCAAGATTTTTATATTTAACCAATTGCATCAATTAATTGTTTTCTATTAAATTGATTTTTTTTGCATTAGTAAAAAACAAATTTTTATTGTGGTAATTTGGATTTTTTTAAAAATGTTCAATTTGATATCTGAACTTAAAAAAAACGAGAATTGAAATGAAAAATAGATTTTATTACATTCATTTAAAAAAAATGAATTTCAGTTATTTTGCTATAATTATTTTGCAAGTTGGTTCCCCAAAATAGGAATCAGATACAAGTTGGTTCCTTAAAATGATGATTTTGAAAGTTGGTTCCCCAAAATAGGAATCAGGTACAAGCTGGTTCCCAAAAATGATGATTTTGAAAATTGGTTCTCCAAAATAAGAATCAAGTGCAAGTTAGTTCCCCAAAATAGGAATCAGGTGGAAGTTGGTTCCCCAAAATGACGATTTTGAAAGTTGGTTCCCCAAAATAGGAATTAAGTGAAAGTTGGTTCCATTTTGATGCAATTTCCCCAATGGTTAATAGAGACTCATGATACAAAATTATTCATAGAATTTTAGAACAATTAAAAGACATACATTTTTTTTTGCCAAACAAGATTCATTTTTTAACAATTCAAAATCTGTTTGTTAATGAAACTATTAAGAGATAAACAAACAAACCGTAATAATATTTTTAGAAATTTCAAATTAAAATTTGATTAAAAGATAAATTTGGTAAAATAAATAACTATTTTTATTAATTTGTCCAAACTCCAAACGAAACGACATGCACATTGTCTTATTAGTCTCTGTGGCACGCGGGTCCACGTGACAGTCCTGCTGAAATGCACGTGGCTACGTCCATGCATCATATTCCACGTGTCGTTCGTAACACATCCACACCCCTGCCGTCTCCATTTTCGCGCCTTTTTTCCCGGGAAAACACGCTCTTACGCACACACAAACATGCTCACGCACTCACTCCGTAACCCTAAATTCTCACCGGGAAAACGGAAGAGGTCATCGGAGATTGATCGTGATAACGGTGAAAAATGGAGGTGATGAATGACAATTCTACATTGTATGATTTATCGATGAACCTAGAGAGTAGTCACAGTCAGGTCCTTCCGATCACATTGTTCGTCGCGGTACTCTGTTTGTGTTTGGTCGTCGGGCACCTGCTTGAAGAATATCGTTGGGCTAACGAGTCCATCACTGCTATTCTCATTGTAAGATTTCTCTTTTTTTTTCTCGATTTGTTTATTGGTCCTTATTTATAATTCTTCCCCTCTCGATCGAAGTTTACTCCAATGTTTTCCATCTGTTTACTTCCAAATTCCACTACTCATTTTATCGTTCCAGTTGGTCTCTTCATGTAGATAAGATCAATTGTACAAAACTTGAAGCAGGTATAAACCTGTTGGCATTTAAGGAACTTAATAAGGGAATCTGGTTTTAGAGGGAGGGGAAATGAATAACTTGTACCGCCATGAAATGGTGGTGACAGGGAACCTATTTGAGAAAAAGCAGCACAAGTTATGGTGAAATTAGATGCAGAGAATGGAATCATAATGATAAGTTTTATGGCAGCTTAAATGCAGAAACCCCAAAATAAATTGGGAAATTAGCTTGAAATCTTCTGTTTGCCACCGCCTTGAGTAAGTGGCATACTATTTTGTTCTCCATGCCATTTTGTCGTGAAACGTAGTACAATAAGACTGGAGAACTATGAAGAAGGCTTTATACAGAAGTTAATTAACAAAATTAACAAGTAACTAACTAAATATCCCTAAGTAGCTATAGCTATAGACTTACAACCGAAATCTTCTATATCTTAGGGAACTAATTACAAGCCTTTGATGTTCCCATTTGAATGGTATAATTGCTGAGCAAAGGGGTATAAACCTGTACTGTGTGTGTTTTCTACCTTACAAAATTGTGCCTCTTAGACTATGTTTGGCAAACTAGCCGCAAAAGGTAGCTTTAACCGATAAACTAGTCATGTTTGCTAAAAACTAGTTGATAAGTTCTTTTTTGATTAATCTGGCCCGCTATGCGAGTTGACTAATTCTAGGGCAACCTTCTGCTTTGTATGTAGCCTGGAGTCACCGCATTTGAATCTTCGTGGCCACAAGGGGATTTTTATTTCTCCTTGGATTTGACCTTGAGACCTCCAGACACTTTTGACCTTTGGAGCCAAGCTCAAACCAATCCGGCACCACCCTTGTGGTTTATGTTGGAAATATTAGTGAGGTTGGAGCCACATTCGTAGGTAGAATAAATGTAAAGAGCCTTATAAGGTTTTTCTCCCAATTGGGCTTTGAACAAGTTGATGGACTCATGGTGGGGGTCATGAGTGGAAGGTTTAACGCGCACACGCGTGGCCAAGGCCGAGGGCGCAAGATTCGCGGAGTGGCGCACGCCGCATCGGAGCAGAAGGAGCCTAGCCCCGAATATCTTTTTGGTACACATTATAGAGCGATAGATAATTACTGTTTAATTATAAACTGTTAATTGTCAGTAATATCTATTTGGGTTTTAACAGATTATTCATACGATTTATCTGATTTTTACAAAATTTAAACTTTAATCTTAATCAAATAAAAAAACATGCTAATTTCGGTTAGAGACTTGGTCTCTATCGTGATCCCAAAACTTGGGGGCGATTGTAGGGGGTTTAACCGGTATAAATACTGGGTTAAACCACCTCTAAACACACACTAAATCTGTCCTCTCTCTCGAATTTCTGTTGCATTCAGTGTTCTTCTACCAACAATTTTCTGCGTCTACCTTGCTTCTATTTCCGTGATCCTTGCTATTGGTAAATGAAAATCGTGACTGCATTAAATCCTGGTGCTTTGCGACTGGTAGACTCACAACTTATAGAGTGGTCGTCTAAAACCTTTAGTGACAGGGTGCAGATCTCGTTTCATCGTTATCTCTAACAGGTTGATTTTAGTTTTCTCAGTATTGCATTCTAATTTTTGTTCACCAAGTGAACAAGTTTGCTTCTACCCCTTTCTCCGGATTGTATTACTATTTATCGCAAAAGATAGATTCAATATGTGTGGTTTTGTTAGTTTGGAGTTTAAATTCCACATTAATAAAGTTACCACCTTTATTAATAAAGATTTGATTTTAGCTTTAAAGTTTATTATAAAGCTTAAAACTTTATTGGTTTTGTCTAATACAATCTATGCTGTTACTGCAGTCAAAATACAAAATATCAGCCAGGACCGATGTTCGATATATCTCCAAAATAGCAGTTAATATAATATTTCTTAGAATTTTATATATATATATATATATATATATATATATATATATAAAATGTATGCATCCATAAACATATCATATGCATTACTTAGAGTTTAGAAATATAGTTTCAAAATTAAAACATCACATAAACAAGTCTCACAAAACAAAATGGGATAAGTGTTCAAAAACGAGCTAATCGCAAGCAATAGGTTCGGCATCCGAGTCAACGTCATCTAATACGTTCACTTCTTCGTTTAGGTTAGCTTCCCAATCTTCCTCTTCATCTCCAACATGATCATCATCATCATCCCTATAGCGCTCCCTTTTACTTCTTGTACTTGGCCCAACTTGTTCATTACCTCCCAACTAATCCCAACATGTTATAAAAAAAAGCCCAAAACATTTGCCTTATAGAAAATCGGTATATCGGACCGATTTTTTCCATCAAAATATCGGTGAAATATCGGCGATATTATCCGAACCAATATTTCACCACCAATATTTTTCCAGAGACCGATATCCGATATATCGGCGATATATCGCGATTTTAACAGCATAGAATACAATATCGTTCTTTTTTTCTGAACAGTTTAGTTGATAAGTTATATGACGCTATAAAATGACCTAAAAGTACATGTTTTAAAACTAGTTGATAAGTTAGATGACGCTATACAATGAACTAAAAGTACATGTTTGAAAAATAAATAGGAAAAATATAAGGGGTATAATTGGAAAAAAAAAGTGGAAAAAGCTGAGCTCCTCGATTGATCCCTGCTCTACGCAATCTAGCTGCAGTGACCACTGACCCGACCACCAAACCGAGCTCGCGTAGCGTACACCATCATGTGGCCTGATGTTGGCCTTGGTGTCATATAAATCACCACATAAGTCATGTCAATTTTTGGATTAAGAAATAACTCATTTGGCTGTGAAGGTCATAAATGTGTATCTAAACCAGTGAAGCTATAAGCTTAGGATTTTAATTCGGAGTGTACAACTTAGTCCTCATTTCATTTGAGCCATGATATGTTGTTGATGAAACATCTGTAAAAGGCAGACTCCTATATGTTGTCTATGTCTTACCATCTCTTACTGGTATCACGAACAGGGGTGCATTGCTGGAACAATCATCTTATGCAGAAGCAAGTGGAAAAGTTCTAGTTTGCTCAGGTTCAACGAAGAACTGTTCTTCATTTATCTACTTCCGCCTATAATCTTCAATGCTGGGTAAGGTTGGTGCCTGCCTATTTGGTCTGTTCAATTAGTTTGGTTGTCCTGCATGGCATCACTAATTTTCAAGTACTTCAAATAGATTTCAGGTGAAGAAGAAACAGTTCTTCCATAACCTTTTCCCTATTATGTTATTCGGAGTCGTCGGTGTTTTCATATCGACATCAATAGTTGCAGCTGGTATTATATTAAAATTCTGTGTATTGTTTAGTTTCTTTGTTTAGTGCGCCATAGGTCATAACACTGGATGGACTATATCAATATGCACACTTCCCATTTATCTTGATTTCTGGTCGTGCTTGGTGATATGCAGGTAGCTGGTGGCTATTTCCAAAGTTAGGATTTGAGGGCTTGACTATCAGCGACTATCTTAGTAAAATAGTCTATCAGCTCTTCTTCTTTGATAACCCTCGGGCCATGGGTGGATCCACTTGTTAGCCAGTGATGGCACAGGCTACCACTAATATATTCTGTCATAGTGTTAAAAAAATTACGACCCTTAAAAGTGCTACCACTGGACATAGTTGCCGGAAAATTGAGAGGCTACAGTAACATATATAAAATTTTTATTTATTTTATTTTACAATAATTTTAATTTATTTTATACTACTGTAATTATTTTGTGATACCACTGAAAAAAAATCTGGATCCACCTCTGCCTTGATCTATGATTGTTTGATTAGACACCAACTCTTTTGACAATCTATGGTACTCCTTTAGGTATTGGGACTATTTTCTCATCAACAGATACTGTATGTACGCTACAGGTTGGTCGAAATACTATTACATAAGTTTCTATAATGGACATCATGTTTGGTGATGCTGTTTTGTTCATTGGTCGAAAATCTTTGTGCAGGTTTTGAACCAAGATGAGACACCTTTGCTATACAGCCTAGTCTTTGGTGAAGGAGTAGTGAATGATGCAACATCAGTTGTTCTCTTCAACGCAGTTCAAAAAATGACTGCAGATACACTCAATGGCCAGACAGCTCTTCGCATCTTTGTAGACTTCTTATATCTATTCTCTATGAGCACAATTCTTGGAGTAACAGTTAGTCCAATTTCTTGTCCTATTAATTCAATGGCAAAAGCTCCTGATCATACAAGACATATTCTGACTGCATCCCTCTTCCTTAATGTAATAATTTGTAACCAACAATCTATACAAGTTGCTTTTGTTTTCTGCAGGCTGGGCTTGTGACTGCATTCATTCTTAAAGGCTTGTACTTTGGCAGGTTAATATTCATTTGTGTACATTGTGGGAAACAAAAATACCGTTAACTGGGGAAGCCTGAACAGGATTATATTTGTTTCTAATATGGGTACACACAGAGTATCTGTGGGTCAGTAACATCATTTGCCTACATATCTCTTTAACAGGCATTCAAGTGTTCGAGAAATTGCTTTGATGGTTCTAGTAGCATATTTGTCCTACATGTTGGCCGAGGTAATGGGCATGTATGAGTTCCTTTTTGCTTGTTGCATGATGCATTGATTTATATATTGATCTAGTTTATATCCTTCTACATGTGCTTACCTTATAAAGGTAGCCGTATAGCTTCAAATTAACATTCTAAATCATCATTCCTCTATGTGATTGGTTAACTTCAAGTTTACACTGTAACCTATGCCTGTATATTCAATAATATGCTAATCTTTATGGTGTGGATACCGGAACCTCTACACTTGCACCCCATAAGAAACTCGTATGGCATCTGTTAGGATATGTGGACCCCTTTGAATCTCTCTTTAGAAGAGCCCTTGTAGAGAGAGGGGAGGCTCCTAAACATATACAAGTTTGATGGTCTGTGTTTAGCCGACGTCGGACTCCAACACGCCCCCTTAAACAGAGGCTAGGTGGTTCCCCCAGAACAGAGGTGAAAGAGTGTGTTGAGTCCCTAGATGTGATGGACCTCGACTCTGATACCATTAGGCATGGCAACGGGGCGGGGATGGGGCGGGTTTTGTAATCCCCGGCCCCGGTCCCGGTTTGTAATACCGTCCCCCGGCCCGGGTCCCCGGCGGGTACGGGGATTATCATCCGTCCCCGGTCAAATTCTAGCCCCGGTCAAAACCTGGTAAACCCCGGTCAAAACCCGGTAAAAATATGTTTTAGTTTGATTCTACCGGGGATCCCCGGCCCCGGTTTGAGTAACATCCCCCATCCCCGGCCCCGGGACCCGTTTTAGCGGGGAATCCCTGTCCCCGTTCGGGTCGGGTGAACCGGGTTCCCCACCGGGTCAGGGCAAATCACCATCCCTAGATACCATGTTAGGACATGTAGAACCCTTTGAATCTCTATCTAAAAAACCTTTACAGATATAGGGGAGGGTCCTACATATATACAAGTTTGATGGTCTGTGTCTAGCCGATATGAGACTCCATTGAGTCTTCAGTTTTGCGTGATGGAGGATGATAAAAGTAAAACAACTAATGTCAAATTCTGTTGCAATTTGCAGCTATTTGAACTCAGTGGGATTCTGACAGTCTTTTTTGCTGGGGTTTTGATGTCTCATTATTCATGGCATAATGTGACTGAAAGCTCAAGAATTACCACCAGGCATGTATGGTTCAGTGCATTAGTAATTTGTCTGTTTACACCTCTCTCCTTCAGCATTTGGAAAGAAATTAAGTGATCAAGTGAACTCCACAAGTAAGTAAATTCACTTAAAGTTGTCATGGTTACTTCTCTTAAAGAGTTCTATGGTTCCAGGTATGCATTTGCGACATTGTCTTTCATTGCTGAAACATTTATATTCCTTTATGTGGGAATGGATGCTCTGGACTATGCGAAGTGGAAAATGAGCACTATAAGGTAATAGTGGTCATTTTACGTATCTAATCTACTGATATATTTCCTTCCTATGTTAAACATTTTTGGTTTAATTCTTTCTGTACTCTCGTTGCATCCCTTCTATCACATTTTAGGTAAACAATCATCAAAATATGACAAAAGCTCTCTTTTTTGGCATGGGTATGAGTCATAACCAAGTTATTGTAAAGCAATCATACCATTTATTGTTTTTCATCAAGTAGATAAAGGAAGTGTTATGGTTTTGAGGTATAGGAGGACTAAAAAGATGAATTAGGAGTCGTTTATAAAACACTTACCGGTAAGAGTTACCACTCTCACCAAAGGGCCTTTGGCCTAGCGGTATGTGAGTCCTTGGCCTCCTAGGAGGTCAAGGGTTCAAACCTCACCAAAAGTGAAGAGGGTGAGTGAGTTTATTTGTTTTATTTTGCCGTATATAAATATTATATACTTCAAAAAAGAAAAAAAAGGAGTTACCACTCTCACTTACCTTACCGGGTAAGATTCTCACAATCAAAATGGCATAGTAGGCAACAATCTTACCCGGTAAGCACAAACCGGGTAAGAGTTATCACCATCACTTACTTGGAAGACTCTCGGTCCTTGCCATGCCTCTTACCGGGTAAGATTCTCAGTTTTTGCCATGCTCACCCATAAAGTAAGTGACCAGGTATGCACTTACCCAGTTAGCATTTAGTAAACGACTCCTTAGCCTTTCCTAAAACGAGCATCTCTCTCTGTCTTTATGATCTTACGTCAATGGTGTCCGATGACAAGTTTCCCTCTCTAGGTATGACATTGAGCATGTCTGCAGTGTTCCTGCCTATACTGCTATACGTCATTATGAAGATAATCACTACAATAGAATCGGCTTTATAGGACGCCAAATATGTCTAAATGTCCTAATAGACTGCTTTATAGGACCAAAACAATTGGATGTGTCATATGTAAAGATGTTACGATAAGTTGATAGGACGTTTTTTGACATTCTAACAAGTTTTTTAGGATACTTTTGAAATAAAGGTCCTGTTAGTCCTTTTATATGCCATTGTCCGGAAAAGTTTCTTATAAAAACAAGCAACCTATAAAAGATATATGTTCATAGGAAATTTTCTTTGTAAAGTGTCCTATAAACTTGTTAGGACGCGCAAATGCGTCTTATCCACTTATTACAACACTTTTACATATAAAGCGTAATTGTTTGTTCAGTTATTTAAACTTAAACCTGTAAAGCAGTCTGCTAGGAAGTTTACATATTTGGCGTCCTATAAAGCCAATTTTGCTATAGTGAATGTGTAATATTTACCTAGCAGGTACTTACTGGACTGTTTTTTTTATCACAGCTTTGGGACCAAAATGGGTATTTACTGCACTGTAATGTTCTTGATATTGCTCGGGCGTGCTGTTTTTGTGTTTCCCCTTTCTGTAATTACCAATTACATGCACAGAAGTGGAGGGGAGTCTGCAAAGATCACAGGACAACACCAGGTCGACATGCAGTCTTATATATTCTTGTTAAGGGTTGGCTTCCAGTGAGAATGAAAGTTGTGGTGAGAAGGGTAAGAAGGGATCTCCACCCTTGGATCAATCCTAATTGAAGAGAACCACTAGATCAATTCCCTTCTAAAGCGCAATTCATGGGTTGTTTTGGGGTTAAAAGTGATCAGGGTCCAAATCTCTTCTTACACTTCTCACATTAATTCCTATTCTTTGTCTTCTTGTTAATGCCAAATTAACTTTCTTTATCTTATGCAATTTGGTTTAGATGGTTATTTGGTGGGCTGGTCTGATGAGAGGTGCTGTCTCTGTCGCCTTGGCATTCAAACAGGCATTCTTTTCGAACATTTCTGTTTTTGTTTTTGCAATTCTCATTTTTAATTTAATTTAATAATTAAAAGGTACAAGATTCTTTGTCTGGTTTGTGTAGTTCACTCACTCTGGTGTAACACTGGATCCAACGAAAGCTACGATGATCACCACCACTATTGTGATTGTTCTCTTCAGTACCGTTGTAAGTATATATATCTGTTATCCTGGTGCTGTCAGCATAAACGTTTATCAATCAAAGCAGTGTTGCTTCTCACATGCCACCACCGCCGAATCGAAAAGAATAGAAGGGAAAAAAGAAACGTTTGTTGGAGTTCCATATCAGTTAGACACGGACTATCGAACCTATATGTATATGTATATATAGAGTAAGGTTCAGGGGAGACCTATAAAAAAATGAAAAACTGAGGAACACCCTAACAGCCATTCATATGTACGGTATTATGTGTGGACACAGGTAATTTGTCCAGTATGCACATATGCATACTGTATAGATGAATGGTTGTTAATACTTGGTATGTTCCTCAGTTTTGCTCCCTTGAACCCTCTCTCTCTCCCTCTCTCTCTCTCTCCCTATATATATATGTGTGTGTGTGTGTGTGTGTATAAGAACCTTCCCTTTAAAGAATCAAAGAGGGGGGGGGGGGAGTAAAGTACCGAGTCATTTAGGTATATGACCTTAAATGAGTTTTTGATTAAATTCATAACCTCCTAGCCTATTAAAGAAAAAATGGCTTTATACTCGTGAGAAGGTTATGAATTTAATTAAAATCTCCTTTAAAGTTATATACCTCAAAATCTCGTAAATGACCTCATGAGAAGTGTTTTTTAAGTCGATGACCTTCTGACAAGTTTCTAGGCATTCTTGTGTATGGAAGATGTAATATTTTGTTATCCAATAGCATGCTCAAAACTGTCGGAAGGTCATAGATTCAAAAAACCCGGTGAGAAGGTCATTTAACCAAAGGACCCGAAAGTTCCTACATATATACATGTTAGATGGCCTTTGTCTAACGAATTGGGACTCTAACACGGCCCCTCAAATGGAGGCTAGATGGTGTTATCTAGAATAGAGGCAAAAGAGTGGTTCAAGTCTCTAGACCTGGTTGACCTCACATCTCATACCATATTAGAATATATGAAACCCCTTTGAAGGGTCATTTGGTTAAACCTTCTCACCTTTTTTTTATATTTAAATTATTAACCTTCTGACAGTTTTGAGCATGCCAATGCATGACAGAAGAATTGGGTCCGAGTGGGAATGTTGGAGAGTACCAATATTTAGGTGTATAACCTTAAATGAGATTTTGATTTAAGTCAATTTCCTTCTTATGAATATGAAGCCATTTTTTCCTTAACAGGTCGTGAATTTAATTAAAAAGGTTATCTGTCTAAATAGTAGGAGCGTCCACTAAAGATATGATCTCAAAGGCTCTTATTAGGTCATTTAGGGACATGACGTTAAATGAGTTTTTAATTACATTCAGAGTAAATTATGATTTTTGTCCTTGTGGTTTGTTAATCTTTTTGATTACGAGTCTCTTATGGTTTAGAAATTGCGATTTTAGTCCCTATGGTTTGCAATTTATTGCTATTTTCGTGTCTGGATTAATTCCTATATGAGATTTTTAGGTATATAATTCTAGATTAAATTTTAATTTAATTCGTGACCTTCTCATGAATATAAACCGATTTTCTCTTATATAGGCCCAAAGATCATGAATTTAATTAAAATCATTTAAGGTCGTTTTCCTAAATGACCCTTTCTATCTTTAAGTACAAAATAGCATAGAATTTTAAGCAACAGGGACTGAAACGATAATAAGTTGTAAATTATGAGAACGATAATAGCAATGAATTACAAACAATAGGGACGGAAACAACAATTTCTTAACTACAGGGACAAAAATCACAGTTTTTAAAAAACACAGGGACGGAAAACATAATTTACTCTTAAATTCATGACAACTTGTTAAAGAAAAAGTGGCTTTATAGAGAGAGTCATGGATTTAATTAAAATCTTATTTAAGGTTATGTACCTAATAATGTCAATATTTTATTGCATAGTTTCTTGGGAATTCACTGGGATCTTTGTTGATGCAAAATATTTCTAGTTTCTTAGTGACTTGTATTTCAGGTGTTCGGTTTCTTGACAAAGCCACTAGTCGATCATCTGCTTCCTCTTAATGCAATCACCACGAGGGACTCTTGCGACCCCGGACCAAAAGAGGACATGACACTTCCATTGATGTCTTTAGAAGAATCTGCTTCTGAGAATCTCTCAAGAGCTAAGGACAATTTATCGATGCTAATGGACCGGCCCGTTTACACAATTCACTCCTACTGGAGAAGGTTCGACATTGCTTACATGAGACCTATTTTCGGTGGTCCATCTCACGAGGACTCTTCATGCTAGGACCATTCCCGTACCAATGGAGTACATGGTAGAAATATATATATCAAAGATAAACAAATTAATGCGGAATCTACAAAGCCAAGTCAATTTCGGGCCACCAACCCTGCAACTGATGAAAAGGCCCTATGGTATGGAGTGACAAAGTGATCTATGTCGATGATCGTAGATTGTTTTGTCAAGATGCAAAGGTGAGTCGAAACCAATGTCATTGTTTGGATCAGTATCCGAAGATAAAGCTTGAAGTATATATGTGTTTATGATTCGTCACTAGTTTTGCAGGTTCCACACTTTACCTCTGTGTGGGATACACTGAGCTCTTTTTGCATACTCGACGTAAAATATATGGGTTATTTTTTTTATCTCATATTTATTTTCTTAACGGTGAACGAAAAGTTTCCCAAAAAATGGTACATTTGTTTTAGAACTTTTCGGAAGATTGCATATATGCTTATTTTGTCCTTGAATTGTCGTTGGCTGAATATGCATACCATCCATCTAATTTCGGGATACTGTGATTTTTTCCTCTTATTTTTATTCTCGTAATACTGTGAGACCAGTGCGATACCGACGTTTCAAAGAATGGTCGGTGTTGTGGGGCGTCCCAAAGGGTGAGCTATAATTTTTACAGGTTTATTTTAAAACGATGGGAGCAACAAATCCAAGTGTGACCAAGCAAGGGCGTATTGGTTAAAGGCTAAAGGTACAGTGGAAATCTCATCTTTTCCATGTTAAAATTCGGCAGCTGTCAAAAACTCTTATGATTATGGAGGTCTGTCTCAAGGACGGATCCATATTTTTTTTAAAACGATGACACCTTTTGACTATAAGAAAAAAATATATAGATAATTTTTTTTAAACGGTGACACAATTTGATTATAAGAAAAAAAATATAGGGAATTTTTTTCAAACGGCGGCACAGTTTGACTATAAGAAATAAATATACTGTGTTTTTTTTCAAACACTGACATCATTTTATTAAGAAAAAGACACTAACATAATTCGAACTTGGGTCTGTGGTGAAATAAAAGTCTTGCAAACCAATTTTACCAAATAAAATTTGTTCTCATTGTAGTTTTAAAATACATATGGTGACACAACAAATTAATACGGTTGCACCTTTTATGAGCCTAATTTTTTTACCCTTTGACGGGAAAATAATACAGTGGCACGATACTAGGTCCGTTCCTGGTCTGCCTTACATAATTTCAAGCTATTCGTGGTCATTCGGGGTTTAGATAGTACGTGTAAGCTGACTCGGAAATTTAAGGTTATCCAAAAAAAAGGAAGAAAAAAAAAATTCAAAGTGAATCAGTCAAGTGTCTTTATGTCATTCAGTAACTTAAGTGTTAAGATAATGGTAACATTCATTAGAAGCGATGATATGATATCGTGGTCGCTTGTTGTTAGTCATTTTACTTTGCTGTAATTATTTAAAATCAAATTTAATGATTCCGTTCAAAAATTGAAAATGATGAATTTTTTTTGTTCAGTCAGATGAATGAAAATGGGCATTCGTTTCCTCAGTTTAACAGGGAATTAAATTTGGACTTATGAGAAAATAAGCTTATTATATTATATAAAACCAAACAGTTATTTATTTATTTATTTATTTTCATTCCCATTGATTGTAAAATATTTCTAATCAAACACTCTTTCGGTCTTTTTTACTTGAAAATCTTGTTCATAAATTTCAAATGCATTTGTTACTTATTGTCGGTCGAAGGGGCCATAGTAACAACCTACCTCTTTAACAACGAGTTTTTCCTTCTATTCCGTCGGTTGGCAACTTAAGCGGCATAAAACAAGTATTGTCTCTTCTGTAGGCGAAGGATCGTGTGAGGAGAGTTAAGCCGAGAAGCATAAGAAAAGACCTGGACCATTGATCATCTTTAACTCAAACTCTCTCGTGAGTCGTGGGGGATTGATCAATGCATCTCATTCTAATATGCATGTAAGGGTGGGGATCGTTTCTTACATTTCTCACCTTAACTCTTATTCTCACGGAAAGTCAACCTCTCCTCTATATAGGTTTGGACCTTTTAAATACCAAATGAAGAAAAGCTCTGGCCGGGCTTTGGATGTGGAAATAGGTTTGGCTAGACTGTTTGGTGGCATAGGCTCGAGTTTAGGCTTTTTAGATCCAAGCTTTTTCAAGTCAGAGCTTTAGGTCTATGTTTTTTTTGTTGCATTTCTATTCCTCCCAACCTCGATTTTACTGAACACTGTTTCTATGCTTATGTACTCTCGTTAGGTCTTGGCGAAGTATTTTTGTGAAATTGTAAGATTTTCATGGTAATAAAGCCGATTTTATAGATTTATAGATTAAAGAACTTTATAAAATGTTAATATGGCATAATAGAAACCGATGTGGTAAAAAAATCAGACTAAGGGGTCGTTTACCAAATACTTACTCAATAACTTTTTACTGGTAAAATTTCACACTATCACTTACTTACCGGGTAAAATTTTAATTCATCAAAACGGCATCGTATGTAATAAGTTAACCCAATAAGCACTAACAGTGGTAAGAGTTGTCGCTATTACTTACCGGGTAAAACTCTTGGTCCTTACTTTCGCTCTTACTGTGTAAGATTCTTGAAAATTCTCATATTCATCCGATAAAGTAAAGTGACTTGGTAAGCACTTAACCAAATAAGCATTTGGTAGACAACCCCTAACGTTGTGTTTTCGAAATCTCTTTTACGAAGGAAATGAAAATAAAGAAAATGGAGGGAAAGGAGAGGAACGTAAAAAAAAACCTGAGTTCTCGAAACTTTTGAAGAGAGAAATAAAAGGAAATGGGAGGAAAATACTGATAAGTTTCCTTCCAAAACTTTCGTCCCAAATCTGGGAGGAAAGGGAAGGAAAGAAAAGGAAATAAATTATATCTTTTAGGAAAATATTAAAATTACAAAATTATCCAATCTTTCATCCTAAATGATATATTTCTAAACAATATATATTGATAAAAATGACATCTCTTATTTCCTTTCTCTCGTGTTCAAAAATTATTAAAATTTATGACACTACAATTAGGCTTGATCCATGTTTTATCGAGTTGTTTTTTTTCTCTTGGGAGGGTAGGGTGTAAACGAGCCGAGCCGAGCCGAGCCGAGTAGTAAGTTATTCGAGTTGGATTCGAGGTTGATAATTTTTATCTTTTTATTATATGATTTATGGGCATATGTATATTTGGCTCGAATGGCTCGGATTGACTCAACTGGAAAAGTTTAATCAAGTTTTCGAATGAGCCGAGTCGAACATTGATGTTATGAAGCTCGACTCGTTAAGTTAAACGAGTTTTATTTTGTGTTTTGTTGTGAAACAAGATTGTTTTTGTGAGACGTGATACACGATTTTTACACTTGAAACTTCACAACAAAACACTGCGAATGTAACCTTCACAATAGTTTGTTGTGAAGTTTCAAGTGTAAAAATCGTGTCCCACGAAAACAACTTTGTCTCACGTGAACGCAACTCTCTCTCTCTCTCTCTCTCTTTATATATATATATATATATATATATATATATATTGTGTGTGTGTGTGTGTATGTACATATTTATATGTATGTAAGGATATGTTCAAACGAGAAGTTAAACATTTTGTGAGAAGACGATAAGTTTTCAGTATCATATATTATTACATGCATGATACACGCTTGATCGTATATGATTAAATATACCCAAAGAAATATAATCATACATGATATTGAAACTTTTTACCTTCTTATAAAATGTTTAACTTCTCACACCATCATTCTGTCTAAATATATATGAATAAATTAATTCAAGATTTTTGGTATGCAACATCTCATCATCACCAAATATATATATTAGAAGTATTCTTTGGTATGCAGCATCTCGTCATAAACCAAAGAACTAAAAAAGGAAAAACAGAAAGGGAGTATCATAGATTGAAATCGTCTGAGGGTCCATATTTCTTGCCCAAAACTATTCGATTGATCATCACCATATTTGGATCACCACACGACCATTTCCCACATTCCTTTTCCGTTAAATTAAGCAACTTTTACCTTTTCTCTCTCTCTTCAATCGAACAATATTTTCCCCCAAAACACACCCCAATTCTTCTGTCCTTTATTCCCCTTCACTGGATTGCCATCTTCGGAAGAAATTCGTAATGATTTTTTTAAGTTAGTCAAGGGTTCTTTGGTATAACCCATCATTACTTGCTGGGTTCCTTTTTTGATCCTGAGAGGTATGTCATCATTCTTTCAACAACCCACTATTTAATTCTGTTTGCTTCCGTTTTCTCGAATGCCCACCATGTGTTTGTTGTTTTTCCCCCATTGCATTACTTGTAAATCTCTTGGAATTATATATTCTTGACTTGTTCCCCTGGACTCTATTCTTTTCTAGTCGACTTTTGAAGCTTCTATTTGTGATTAATTTGTTCAATTCATTGCATTTATGGATAACTTTTTTGAGTATTTGAAAGATACGATGCTTTTTGAGTTATTATTTGGATTTCCCTCTCTATTGTTTTTGAAAATTTTGTTTTGTTAAAGGTTCTTTCACCAACCCACAATTTAATAGTGCTTTTTTTTCCTTTCAAATCTCTCATTCTTAGTCCTGTTTTTTGAAATGGGTACCTTTTATTTGTAGCTTTTCACTGTATATAACATTACATTATTCATAAATTTCATGGGGATTGCAGATTCTTGCCTTGTTTCTCCTAATTTCAATCCTTTTTGGTTGAATCTTATCTATGCAGAAGCGTCAATTCATTGCATCTGTAGATAAGATGTTGTAGGTATTTAATAGATTGGTGTTCTTTTGGGATCATTATTGGAATTTCCCTCCTCTGTTCATGCTTTTTTCTCATTTTAGGTTCTTTGGATAATCCATCTTCAGTTGCTGGTTTTTGCTCCTCTCTTTTTTTTCAAAACCAGAGGTATCTAGCCAGTTCTTACACCAACCCACAATTTAATTGTGTTTTCTTTATACTTATCTCTCATTTTTGGCCTAATTTCTTGATTGGGTACCTAAAATTTCTAGTTTTTCACTGTTATTGGGTATCTTCTTCATCTTCAGTTGCAGATTCTTGGCATGTTCCCCAAATTTTGATCTTTTTTGGTTGATTCTTTACTTTGTAGAAGCTTGAACTCATTGCATTCATAGATAATTTTTGGGGAAATTGACAGAATTAGCCAGTCAGCAAATAGGGTTTCACTTTTTAGTCATTTTCTGACCCAAATTCACTTTTTAGCCGATCCTTACGCAGAAGGCTTATGCATATGCACAAGGATTGGTTTTCGGCTAAAAAAAGGAAAAAATAGGTATCTGCATAAGGATCCAGAAACCTTATGCATATGCTTAAGGTTTCTGCATAAGGATTCCACTATATGCGTAAGGTTTCTGGATCCTTACGCAGAAACCTCTTTTTTCTTTTTTTGCCGAAACCAATCCTTACGCATATGTGTAAGACTTCTACGTAAAGATTGGTTAAAAAGTGAATTTGGGTTTGAAGTTGGGTAAAGAATGAAACTACCTATTAGCTTTGGCTATTTCGGTAAATTTCCCAAATTTTTGTGGGTATTCAAAAGATTGGAGTTCTTTGCTGTTCTTGCATTATGCTTATAGATTGGTAACTTTTGTTTTTTCTTGTTAGATTTTGAGGCAACATGGGTGATACTGATGATAAAGACGACAAGCACGCTGAATCGCATGACACCCCGCCATCTGGATCCGTAGTTCATGATGATGCATCCGAATCCTCTTGTTATGCAACTGATGAAGAAGATACCCAAATACATTTGGGCCCGAAAATTAGCATCAAAGAGCATCTTGAGAAGGACAAGGTTCTTACTTTCTTATCACATTTGCGTACCCGATTGAAATCTTGTCGAAAGGGATTGTTTTTGGCTTTCTTGATTACGTGTTGTTTGTTTTAGGATGATGAGAGCTTGAGGAGGTGGAAGGAGCAGCTGCTTGGAAGTGTTGATGTCAGTCAAGAAGGTATTTTTCTTCTATTTGATTTACTGATTCTTGTTAATCTGGTTCAATTCATAGCTTCTTTTGTCGTCTGAACGGGAAATGAACATGAAAAACCAAACCAAACCAAACAGATTCAGTAAATCCCACTTGAAAGTAGGTTTCGGGGTCCTTTGGTTGAATGACCTTAAAATGAGTTTTCTAGGTGTTAAAAAAAACCGATGCACCGCAAAAACCGGTCGGACCGAACCGACCTGACCGTTTGTGGTGGTCCGATCTGGTCCTTTCTATGGTTTGAGCAGTTTTTTTGGCGGTCTAAATCAATCAGGCTGCTCGTTATAAATTTATAATACATTTGGACTCACAATCTCATATCCTATTATTTTAGTATTGGATTTTTAGATTTAGAGATTGGGCTAATGCTTATAAATCTTTTACATTTTAAAATTTTAATATAATAGTATTATAGATCATCATTTATTAGATTTAGAGTTACTTGAAATTAGAATCTAATTTACCAAGTATCAATTTAGGGGTTGTTTGGTTGGTTTTCCATTAAGTCGTGCATGGATAAAACTGTTTGTGAGATTAATTTGTGTGTATAGATTGAAAAGGTTTTTGTTTGGGAGTGTTTTTTCATAGATGGAAAGAACTTATTTTTTTAATTGGGATAGACATGTTTGTAAAAAAAACTTGGTTTTCTGCATAAAGCTTACTCTATAAGCCACTTTCTATATCATTAAGCCACTATCAAACAGTTATATATAGCTGAGTGAATAAGCTGTCTCTCATTAAGCTCGTTAAGCTGCTAACAAATGGGCCCTTAAGGTTCTCTCAATTCAAGCATAACATCTTTAATGACGTATGGAGGGCCATTTAGGGATACAACCTTAAATGAGTTTTTAATTAAATCCATGATCTCTTGGCCTACTAAAGAAAAAAACGGCTTCATACTCGAGAAAGTAGCAAAATAGTATTAACATTGGAAAAAACTCGAAACTAATACGTTCTTTGGTGCTAGTAGTTGAAGAACCAGATGTGAAGATACTGAGCCTTAGCATCGTCTCTCCTGGTAGACCTGACATCGTTCTTGAAATCCCCGAGTCTGGGAACCCGAAAGGCCTTTGGTTTACCCTAAAAGAAGGTAGCAAATACAGTTTGAAATTCTCCATCAAGGTCAGCAACGATATCGTTTGTGGGCTAAAGTACACCAACACTGTCTGGAAAACCGGCATCAAGGGTAAAGCCCCCATCGTTGTTAATGATTTAATGTCGTTTTTCTTCATCATTCTATCTGTTATCATGAATTCGTTGGACGCTTGTTAATGTAGTCGACAGCTCAAAAGAGATGCTCGGAACCTTCAGCCCTCAAGCCGAGCCTTACACACATGTAATGCCTGAAGAGGTTACTCCTTCGGGTATGTTTGCTAGAGGAAATTATTCTGCAAAAACCAAGGTTCGTAAACGATCTCGATGTTTTTAAAGTTCTTGGAAATAGTTTGTCTGTTTAAGATCTGTGTACATCTTATTCTAGACTTGGCCATCAGGTTAAATGACCTTCTGACAGGTTCTTTATTTGAAGAGTAAATTACGATCTTCGACCTTGTGGTCTGTTAATAATTTTGATTTTTGTCCCTATGGTCTGTCATGATTTAAAAACACTTGCCGGAAGGTCATTTAGCTACCCCAAGGGGGGAGGTGCGGACATAGGCGGGATATACTGGGTTTGTTTAGTTTGGTTTTTAATGATGATGTTACATTCGGTTTATTTTGTCGTTTTTTTACCTTTTTGTGCCCAGTTTCTTGATGATGACAACAAATGTTACTTGGAGCTCAACTACACTTTCGACATCCAGAAAGACTGGGCCAAGTAGATCGTGAACGTTCTATGGCCATAACGGAAATTGGTATTTTTCATGGGTATTCGTTCTTTAGGGATTTTTTTCGTTAGTGTGAATGTTTGCAGTCGCTCGTTTTTCCATTGTCTTTTGTGGCGATTGTCGTGCCAAGAAACCGACTATATGCTGTTAGATTATGCATATAAACGGCACCTTTTTTTTTCGTTCCTTTTGATTTCTGCAAGATATGTAGTTGTTTTTCCGAATCTTGGTTTTGTTTGATGACGGTAATCTAATACATTTAAGTTTGTCTTTGACATCATTTTATCGTGTTTGATGAATCGATTGTGAAGCAAGATTCATTCACATGTGAATGTTGTTTTAGTGATTTGAAGTCGAGTCTTCCTAACACTTTTAGGACGTTGTTATTTTATTGCTTAGGGTTGTTTGGTTGGTTTTCCAATTAAGTCATGTATGGATAAAATTGTCTGTATAGAACGAAAAAGTTTTTCATGGATGAAAGGAACATGTTTTTTTAATTAGAAGAGACATGCTTAGAAAAAAAAAACTTGATTTTCTAAATAAAGCCACATTTATAAGCTTACTGAATAAGCCACTTTTTGTATCATTAAATCATTATTAAACAATCATATATAACTAATTGAATAAGTTATAAGTTCTATTAAACTCGTTAAACTGCTAAATGAGATTTTACTAGTAAGAGGCATTATTTGCTTAACCATATCGTAGTGTTTTTGTCTCCGAAACCGATATATATTTGTCACCAACACACAAGAGGCGATTAACAAATGAATATATAACTAAAATTGGTGTTTTAAAAGGCGTGCCACGATGTGCCGAGTAAATAACCTCTCTCTCTCTCTCTCTATATATATATATGGAGGGAAGTTTAAACGAGAATTCATGTGATTTACCAAAAACAACTTATTAACTTCAAACTTTTTTAATCAATAATTTAAATTATATTAAATACAAATGAGTCAATAAGGACATTAATATAATTATATGTTTTTTATTATTTTTATTTTATTTTATCTATACTATGTTATAAAGAATTTGATAAAAACTCTTAAAACCAATTTTTTATGCATGAAATATTGTATATTGATGCATATTACTTAAAATTCAAGATTACAAGTAAATTATACATATATACAACTTATTTAAGCTTCATGTTTGAATTCATGTAACTAACTTCGGATAAACATAATCAAATAAAGGATAAACATAATCAAATATATAGGATAAATATCTCATTTTAAATAAAAAAATTCTAAAATATAATTAGAATAATTATTGAGTTATAACATAATTATTATCTTTATAAAAATTATATTGTTAAGTCAAAAATAAATTACTTCATTATTAGACCTAAATTAAATTATAATAAAAAATTGAATTAAAGAAATTGTATAAAAAAGATAACTTTTAAAATAGTTAATTTTATATTAATATCGATATATTTTTCAAATTTTTATGATATTTTCAAATATATTTTTATTCAAAAGTAAAAAAAAAAATATTTCTCAAAATGACATAAACCGTATTATATTAACAAAGACAAAAAATAAAATAAAATACTAAAATGGAGATTTATCTTGTTGCATTATGTAAGTACCCTTCTAGTTTTAATTAATTAGAATGATTCTATCTTTTTTTGTTGGGATTGATCACGCTCAGTGATTTAATCAAGTTATTTTCTATTTTCTTACGAAATATATTTTATTTTTAATTAATATAAATTTCATTCTTAATCTTTTTTAAATCTTTTTTTTTATTTTTTTTAGTTTAAAAAAATTACATATAGAATGTATTTTATTTTTAATTAAAATAAATTTAATCAGTAATTTTTTTTAAATCTTTTTTTTTTTTATAATTTGAAAAATCACTGACATAATATATTTTATGTTTAATTAAAATAAATTTCATTAATAATCTTTTTAAATGTAAGTATCTTTTTAGTATATTTATTTTATTTGATAGATATTTTTTTGTTAAAAAAATGTTTAGAGACTTAATCGTGCAAAATATGAAAGTCCATTGGATTTTTTCCACACTTTTTCCATTATTTTACCACATTAAGTGAAATCCGTTAAAAGAAATCTGAACTATTGATTACCTTTAATCTTGAAACGATTTATGAATTGCTTTTGATACAAGAGTTGATCCAATGTAACTGATATATTTCATCCTAACGTACATTCAAGAGTAGAGATCCTTACGTTTATTACCGAAATCCAACCCACTTATTGAATTAGGTATGTTCATCAGTTGCATCCATTGCATGTGAGGGGAACCGAACCGATCAATCATCTATTGGACGTTGGATTTTGCCAACCGATCTGATCCGATTAACATTGGACAACTGATCCAATCCAATGGATGATTGTATCGGTTCGGTTCCATCTATTGGATACTTATATTGGATCCATACAGTGTGTTAATTCAATTCAGTTCGCTAAAAATGATACAAATTAATTAATCACTTTTAATATGTATTAAAACCAACACAAGAGAAAATTCAAAACCTTATATAAAACAAATTCCAATTTAAGCAATTTGAAAAATTAATTGAACGATAGTTGGATAACGGCTCGGATGATTAATTGGATGTTGATCGGTTCGATTCGGTTTTGATCAGTTCTAAACTGTCATTCGAGAATCGACCGATCTAAATTGGATGTTGAAAATTTTAATTTAGTCTGATCCAATTACAATTAGATATCCAATTATGATCAATCGATTTTAACTAAGGTGCCGTTTACCAAACGCTTAGCCGGGTAAGCCTTACCAAGTCACTTTACTTTACCGAATAAATATGGCAAAGACTAATAATCTTACCCGGTAAGAACGAAGACAAGAATCGAGAGTCTTACCTGGTAAGTGAGAACGAGGACTCTTACCATGGTTAACGCTTACTGGGATAAATTGTTGCATACGATTCGTTTTAGTGAATAAAATCTTATCTGATAAATAAGCGATATTGTTAAATTTTACCGTAAGTGCTCCAATTAGATCGATTGATTTTCTACGTGTTTTTAATTGAGATTAATAAGCCAAAAGCTTTAAGAAAACTATAGTAAAGACAGATTACAGGAAGAGCACAGTTAGTTGTTCCACGTGTCGCAACTCAAATTAAAACGTCTTTGTTCAAGCTGATCCCCATCCAAATAAAGACAAAAATGATGACGTGGATTTTACACGTGTCAAAACTTATTTTGTATGAATATTTCAAAAATGCGACGCGTGTATATATTTCTCCAACACGCGCGAAGAGTTAAGAGACAACGTTCATTAACCCCGTACAGCCGTTTCTTAACTGGCCTCCCTCCATACCTTCATTTCATTCATGGAAAAATGGTGAAATTTTTAGCTCCGAACTCCCTTCTCCTCTCAACCCTCGTATCCTTTCTCTATTTTAAACCAAAATACACTCTCGATTCTATTTTCTAATCCATCGATTCCCGCAACTTTTATGTAGAAATCTATTAATCGAACAGTTACAGTTCATTATCTGGTTAAAATCGATTCCTTCTGCAGGTTTGTATTGCTTCAATTCCGTCTTCAGAATTCTAGGTTTAATTCTATCTCGTGGTTTAGTTTTCAGTACCCACTGATCATAATGTGTTTTGTTTTTGCATATTTGTTTTTTTTCAATAATTCGTGTAGAATTATTGGTTTTTTTGTCTGGGTTTATGGGTTACTATTTCATTGATTTGATGGGTTACTTTGAATTTGATTCTAATGGGATTGTGGGTTTTGAAGATTTGATTGATTTCGTATTGGTATTTGTTCAGTGATTAATTTACTGGCGAAGGAAGATAAGGGAGAACAATCGAATTTAATCGGCTTCGAAGTTCGAGAAACTTGGGGAAGAAGATAATGTCTCGTTTTGAGGGAGTTATTGTTTCTGATCATTGGCTTCAAAGTCAGTTCACTCAACTTCAACTTCATAGCCTCAAATCCAAGGTGATTAATCGGTTTTTTGTTAAGTTTTGTTAGCAGCTTAATGAGGTTCATGGACTCGCAGCGTATTCAATCAATTATATATGATTTTTTAGTAGTGGCTTAATGATACAGGAAGGAGCTTATTCAGTCGGCTATATACAGTCGGCTATATATGATTTTTTGGTAGTGGCTTAATGATATGGACAGGAGCTTATTCTGTCAGCTATATATGACTTTTTGGTGTGATATAGAAAGGAGCTTATTCGGTAAGCTTCTAGAGAGGAACTTTATGCAGGAGCCTAAGTTTTTTCTAAACCTACTCCTTCTAATTAAAAAACACGCTCGTTCAATATATAAGAAAACCCTATCAAATAAAAACATTCCCCAAATAAGCCATTTTCTATATCATTAAGGGGTCGTTTACTAAATGCTTATCGGGTAAGCACTTAACGATATCACTTACCTTACCAATTGAGCATCACAAGGACCAGGAATCTTAGCCGGTAAAAGGCGTAATAGGATCGAGAGTCTTACTGGTAAGTGAGGAAAACGACCCTCACCCGGTAAATACTTACCGGGTTTAACATGCTTACCAACAATCCATTTTGATGTCCGACAATGTTACTTGATAAGATAAGTAAGGGTAATTTCTCTTGTTGGTAAGCACTCTGCACTCACCTGATAAACATTTGGTAAATGGCTCCTAAGTCACTACCAAACAATTATGTATAGTTGACCAACTAAGTTGCGAGTCTTGTTAAGCTCATTAAGCTGACAGACACGTAATTGATCTTAATTTGTCTGCTATCACATTGTTGTTTTCTGTTGAACAAATGATTGGATTGATTTTTTAGTAGATTGTTTTGATGATTCTTTGTTCCATAGATTGATTTTGAAAACCATTGGTTATTGTTTTTTGTAGTTTATAGCAGTAAAGAATCAAAATGGTCAAGTTGTTGTTGGGGATTTGCCGGGTTTGCTTTTGAAATTGAAGCCGTTTTGCGGAATGTTTAAAGAGGATGAAATAAGGGATGTTTTATGTTCGTCCGGTTCTGATGTTAACAATGAAGTGGAATTTGAAGGTTTCCTCAGGGTACATATTTGGTGTTGGTGTCTTTCGTAATTAGTGTTCTCGAATTGGGGAAGAAAATAAACGAATAGAAAGGAAAAAAGGGAAGGATATGAAATCTTTTATTTCTGTCCTTGGACGGAGATAAAGGAAAGGAAAGATGTCATTTTTACATATATAAAAATATATATATAGGGTTGGGTTCTGATGGGAAGGGAAGTTATGGAATAACGTGCACCGAGATTGACCGGATCAATTCCCTCCAAAGCGGAATTCATGGGTGGACATGAGATTAAAAGTGATCAAGGGTTCGGGCCTCTTCTTACACTTCTCATCATGACTTCCCTTCTCACACGATAGTTCGCCTATATATATAGGGTTAGGTTAAGGGGAAAACTGAAAAAAAATGAAAAACTAAGGAACACAGGTAACCGTTCATTTGGATGGTATGCAGATGCGCATACAAATAATTTTTATGCAATCTGTCCGACATGTGCATAAAAGCCAAGAAACAACTTCAATTACCTATATGCACATGTGTACACTATCCAGATGAATGGTTACCAAGGTGTTCCTTAGTTTTTCATTTTTTTGGAGGGTTTTCCTTGAACCTCTCTCTCTCTCTCTCTCTCTCTATATATATATATATATATACATATTTGTGTTTCTCACTTCCTTACAACATTGTTGTATGAGGGTATTTTTGTCATAAATGAGGGAAGTTGTCCAAAATAGTCAATCTCAACCCCCCATCTCACTTTATAACCACCTTTTCAACTTATTGATCGAAATAGCTAGGATTACACAAGTAACACTTACGCAACTTGTGTAACCCACTTTTTTCAATATAATATTTAGGAAAAATAGACAATATGCAAGTTGCGCAAGTGTTACTTGCATGGTGTCTACATTGACAATCTATGTGGCACACTCCTCAAGTAGCACTTTCACAAGTCTACTTTTTCTGAATATTATACTGAAAAAAGTAGGTTACTCAAGTTGTGTAAATGCCACTTACTTAATGTTGGCTATTTCAGTTAATAAGTTGAAAAGGTGGCTATAAAGTGAAGAGGAGGGGGTCAGATTGGCTATTTTGGACAATTTCTCCGCAAATGATCACAAACTCCTTTCAGATTTTCTTTCCCTTCCTTCCCACATTCGGGAGTAAACGTACCCATTTCTTCCTTTTCCTTAAAAAAAGGGTCCGAGAACACGTTGCAAATGAAGTATACACTAACCGATATGGTTGCATTATATGGGCAGGCTTACGTAACTCTACAATCACACGCTGCAACAAAATCGCCCGATTCAAAGAACTCATCTTCGTTTCTTAAAGAGACAACGACAACGCTACTTCACACGATCGATGAATCCGAAAAACAATCTTATGTTGCTCATATCAATAGCTATCTTAGGGATGATCCATTTATGAAGCAGTTTCTTCCTATAAATCCAGCCACCAATGGTTTGTTTGAGCTTGCTAGAGATGGAGTTCTTCTATGGTATTAAAAAAGGGTCTGCTTTATCTTGCTCTACTTTGCTGCCGAAATCCGATCATTTTTGGTGATTCTTCTGATATATTTATTGCGGTATATAATGCAGTAAACTTATCAATGTTGCTGTGCCCAATACGATAGATGAACGAGCTATCAATACGAAGAGAATACTTAATCCTTGGGAAAGAAACGAAAATCATACTCTTTGTCTCAATTCCGCTAAGGCGATAGGCTGTACGGTGGTAAATATTGGCACAGAAGACCTCGTCGAGGGAAGAGTAAGCTATTGGGTGTATTTGGAGTTACATTTGATTGTCGATGCTTTTAGTTTTCGTAATCTGATGTTTACCAACTCCATTTTGCAGCCTCATCTGGTACTCGGCCTGATTTCTCAGATCATAAAGGTGGGTTCGTTGTATTTATCTTTGTAAGTATATATGGAACCCCATTAGGTTACTCTCTAGAAGAGCTTTTGATGAGAGAAGGGAGGTTCCAACATTCGTTCCATATTTTTATTCCCGTGGAAGTCCATTTTAATTTTGGCCGAATCTTCTTCCATGAGTAGAGATGGTCCAAGTCTAGGCGATGCGGGACTCAACACGCCCCCTCTAACAGAGGCTAAACGGGCACAAATTGTCCCAGAGTGTCGATTACCTAGAGTAATAGACCTTTGCTCTAACACCATGTGAGAAAGTGTGGAACCAGAGGTGGACCTAGAAATTATTCCAAGCGGTGGCACCATTTGACTATAAGAAACAAATATATGAATATTTTCGCAAATGGTCTATTAGTTAGTTCTTTGCTTTTCATATGTGATGTTAGTGTTCGAGTCTTTTACTGCAATTTTTTCGAAAACATAATAAATCTAAAATTAAAAGCTGAAAACTAAGGAAATGACACAAACGGGATTCGAACCCGGGTCCAAATGTCTTTGACGCCAAAAAAAAGTTTGAGATCTTATTCAAAGAGAAAGATCTAAAATATCTGGAGTGAAGAATAAAATAAAATTTTCGTTTTTCTTACTAAAAATAAAGAAGCTGATTCAGTAGCATGGGCAATTGAAATTCCTGGGGAGTCCGGAGTCATACATTTGTGTATGGGGTGGGAGAAAAACCATGCAAACCAACTCTACCAAGGGAAATTTGTGTCACCGTTGTGGTTCCAAAATATATACACAAAATGATATGGTGGCACCTTTCACGACCCTATAATTTTTTACACTACGATGGAGGAACGAAGCGGTGGCCCGTGCCAACGTATCGAATAGAGTGGGTCCCGCCCCTATATGTAACCCCATTAGATTACTCTCTAAAAAAGTCTTTGTGGAGAGAATGGATGTTCCAACATATGTCGAGCAGAAATGGTTCAAGTCTAGTCGATGGAGGAACCCCACAATCTTGTTTTAGAAAGATGAAATATCCATTTTTGTTACTTTTTCTGTTTTCTTCTCTTCTAACTCTTGGTTCTTGCGATTGCGGTATTTCCAGATACAACTCTTGGCGGATCTCAACCTTCGGAAGACACCCCAGCTTGTGGAATTGGTGGAGGACAACAATGTCTGTAATTTTAAAAATAAACGTTTAATTTCTTGATCTTCTTTCTATTTCTCGACATATTGGGATGCCTCGAATGTGGTTTATGTGATCATTTCATATATATGTACATGAATGTTGTTATAAATCGTTTTGCAGGATGTTGAGGAGCTAATGGGATTAGCACCCGAAAAGCTCTTACTAAAATGGATGAACTTTCATCTTAAGAAAGCAGGATACAAGAAACCCGTAACAAATTTTTCGTCTGATCTTAAGGTAAATTTCCCTTTTTCTTGAGCTTCCGAAATATTCTTTTAGTATAATGTTTGCAAGGGCGTTGCTTTTGTTACCCTCTTTGCGCTTTTGGACGCACTTTTTAGAATTTCGGAACTTAATCAACTGCGGGTTCAAATGGAGTGACTCCGGGCTACCTGCAAAGCAGGTAGTCGCTCTGGGATTAGTCGGCTCGCATAGCGGGTTGGATATCCAGGTTAACAAAAAAAAAAACTTAATCAACTGATCTTAACGATTTTCTCCTATGGGGTTTCTCCTTAAAACCTATTTCTCTCCCTCAAAAATAGATATTTTAAAACAGAGTCGTATTAAACCCAGTAAATCCCACTCGAAATTAGGGATGATGAGATGTACACCAACCTGTATAAAAGCTAAGACTTGGGGTCACGTGAGAAAAAAGATTTTTAGGGAGAAGCGGTGAATGTTCCCTTGTTATGTTATATTTTGTGAAGGCGGTGAATGTGACAGGACCTGAATGTGTACTTTTACCGGTTTCTGTGTTCAAACGCCTTCATGTACCTTCATATATATTATGTGAAGGTTACATTTCTCATAATTCTCACGAAAATGACATTTTTCACCGGAACCCAACTCTAAAACCTACTAGGATCATGTATATATAAATCTAGTCACAGGTTCACATGAGAAATCGTAAATATTTTGAGAACCAGGGAACCAACTATTTCATGAATTATTCATAATGAATGACCCTAAAATATTTGTGAATATTATTCATCATGAATATCATTCATTTTTATTTGTTTCATATACAGGATGGAGAAGCTTATGCGCACCTGCTTAATGTTCTTGCACCAGAATATGGCAGCCCAGCCACTCTCGATGCCAAAGATCCCACCGAAAGGGCCGATTTGGTACTTGAGCATGCCGAGAAAATGGATTGCAAAAGATACTTAACTCCAAAGGACATAACCGAAGGCTCGGCAAATCTAAATCTTGCATTTGTTGCCCAAATATTCCACCAAAGGTTAAAGATTACCGCTTAGCTCGTTTCATCATCTCTTAATCATTAGTAATTACTTTTCTCGGTCTTCATGGAAACAACTAGGGGTGTTCGCGGTGCGGTTTGGGGCCAAACTGCAAACTGCACCGCATATACGGTTTGAACAATTTCTCAAACTGCAACGCATATATCTCAAACCGCAAAAAAACGCGTTGCAGTGTGGTTTATACGGTTTGTATCTAACACACTTTACATCTACAGTCCAATATTTGTAAGATCAAAAATTTATTATAAAATCAACAATAACATGATCATAGTCCAAACAAATTAAAAGTTCAAATATATTTGATTCCCAAATACATATTACATAATTAGAAATAGTCTAAGAAAACTAAAAATATTACATAATTAAAAATAGTCTTAAGAAAACTAAAGATATTACTTAAACTAGCCTAATTATTATATACATACATATATATATATATATATATATAATGTGCAGTGCGGTTTGAACTGCAGTTTGATAACTCAAAACCGCAAAACGCACCGCATAGGGCAGTTTGGTAAAATGCAAACCGCAAACTGCTCCACGGAAGTTTTAAACAGCGGTTTGCGAAGCGGTGTGGGTGGTTTGTGCGGTTTTGACGGTTTGGATGAACACCCCTAGAAACAGTCGCCCTACTCTCTCATGGTGGAGGTCAAGTCTGTGTACACCCGACCTCACCCCACCTTCGGGTGGGATATACCGTGTTCGTTTCGTTTGGTTTCATTTTTAATTGCTTTCCCGGATTTGAAATTTGATATTTAGGGTTATTTTAGTTTCATGATGGTGTTCTTTTTCCTCTGTCGGGTTAAAAACGTCTTGCAGGAATGGTCTATCTACCGATAGCAAAAAGATTTCTTTTGCCGAATTAATGACGGATGATGAACAAATGTCTAGAGAAGAGAGGTGTTTCAGACTCTGGATCAATAGTCTTGGAATTTCTTCTTACGTAAACAATTTGTTTGAGGATGTCAGAAACGGGTGCGTTTACATTTATTGACACAAAATCTTTTATTTTCGGGCAATAAAGATCGTTTCTTTAAGCAACTTAAAATTCATCTTGTCGATGCAGATGGGTACTTTTGGAAGTTCTAGACAAAGTTTCTCCAGGATCCGTTAACTGGAAGCATGCAACAAAACCTCCTATAAAAATGCCGTTTAGAAAACTCGAGAATTGCAATCAAGTTATTAAGATAGGAAAACAGTTGAAATTCTCCCTCGTGAACTTAGCCGGGAATGATTTCGTTCAAGGGAATAAGAAGCTCATACTTGGTAACACAACACAATCTTTGACTCATTTCATGGGTGTATTCCTTGTTATCAAACTTTTTTTCCTGTAACCGTGAGTGTCCGGGCCAGTTTGTGTGCACCTCGACTAATCTCATAGAACTTTGAAGATAATAGCCAAGAAAATCTTTGTGGACCCAAGGGGCCTGAAGATAACAGCCAAGAAAATCTCAATGAACAGCTCGAAAAATCCTCCATGGCAGAGCTAGGAAAATCCCGAGTGACCCTGAGGGACCTGAAGATAACAGTCAAGAAAATCTCAGTGACCCTAAGGGGCCCTGAAGATAACAACTAGGAAAATCCTTAATGCCCCTGAGGGGTCCTGAAGATAGCAGTCAAGAAAATCTCAGTGACCCTGAGGGGCGTGGAGATAACAACTAGGAAAATCCCTATTGCAGACCCTGAAGATAACAGCTGGAAAATCTCCGTGGCCTTGAGGGGAAAGAAAATCTCAGTGGCCTGAGGGGCCTTGAATCAGCTAAGAAAATCCCCGGTGGCCCTGTGGGCTAAGAAAACCCCAATGGCCCTAAAGATAACAGTCGGAAAATCCCTGTGACCCTGAAGAAAACAGCAAGAAAATCCCCAGTAGCCCTGAAGAGACTTGAACTTGTGACCTATCGAGAGGAGTCCCACGGGCCTAACCATTTATTTGTCGGTTGAGTTGGCCTTAAAGGTTATAAAACTCATTTTTGTTACGTTCTTTTCAGCTTTCTTGTGGCAGTTGATGAGATTTCACATGCTTCAACTTTTAAAGAACTTGAGATCAAGCTCTCAAGGGAAGGAGATAGCTGATGCCGATATTTTGAAGTGGGCGAACAAAAAAGTGAAGAACACCGGCAGAACTTCTCAGATGGACAGTTTTAAGGTCGGTAACGATGTTGTGTTGTTTCTAGTTTATCATCATGTTTATCATGTTTTGCATCGGTGGCGATTGGTTTTCTTCTTGTTTAAATCGTGCAGGATAAGCAGCTTTCAAGTGGGATATTCTTCCTTCAGCTTCTGAGTGCAGTCGAGCCCCGCGTTGTCAACTGGAACCTCGTAACCAAGGGCGAAAGTGGTAATGGTTTGCTTATAACCTCAAGATTATGCAAATATCATCGAATTACACTTGTTTTTTGTGTTGTTTAAGGACTAAAAGTCAAACAAAACAAACCCAGTAAATCTCACACAGGTAGACTCTTTAGGGTAGGATGTACATAGACCAGGTTGAGACTGTTTCTTTGGGATAGACATCTGGTCTGGATGTAACATACCGCAAACCCACCTCCGGGTGTGATTGACTGAGCTTGTTTAGTTTGTTTTGGCTTGGTTTTAATCATAATAGACCGACTTGTATGGTCCAAATTAGGCTATACAGGGTCGTTCCAATCTTTTTGGAGACCCTGTTACACTTGTACCAAGACCATAGATCCACTAGACGAGTAATAAATAAAATAAAATATAAAAGTTTCATGTATCATATTAAAAGTCTTACAAATTAAACGACAAAACGAGTAGAAGGGTAAAACATTGGCTAAAACATGGATAAACATTAAAGCATGTATAATTGGATAAATTTTAATTATATATATATATATATATATATAAATATATATACAAGTCAAATTAAAATCACAAATATGATAAAAGTAGAATCTTAAATATACGCATTAAATAACTATTATATAAATAAATTACTTTTATGCTCTTATTTATTTTTGGATTTATTTATTTAAGGTATTATTTAATGAATTTCGTGTTCCATATTCATTCTTTTATTTTTTGTTATAATTCTCGTATGAATCGAATCTCTCTGTATATATAGAGAGGGGGGGAGGTTCAAAGAAAACCCCAAAAAATGAGAAACTGAGGAACACACCGCTAACTATTCATCTGTATAATATGCAAATGTGCATACAAGTTGTAGTTGTTTCTTGGTTTCTATGCACGTGCATGTTATGCACATGTGCATATTGGGCAAATGAGTTACAACTTACTTGTATTCATACGTACATATTGTACAAATGAGTGGTTATCAGGTGTTTATCGGGGTCTTTTGCGGTTTTCCCCTGAAGCTGACCATACATATATTTTACATTGAAACACCCTCGTGCACGACCCTCAGGCCATAGTAAGCATTAAGCCAGGACCATTCTCTTTGTTGTTGCTGTATATAGATGACGAGAAGAAGCTAAATGCAACTTACATAATCAGCGTTGCCCGAAAGCTTGGATGCTCGATATTCTTGTTACCCGAAGATATCATGGAAGTAAGTTTTACGGGTTTCACAATCCGAGAATCATTAACTCGTTACTTTTACAAATCCGGCACGGGTTTGACATGGTGAGCCTGGCTCTTAACAGGTGAACCAGAAGATGATACTAATGCTCACAGCAGCCATCATGTACTGGAGCCTGCAGCAATCGAGGGACGAAAGCGAATCGTCTCCGTCATCAGTTGCTGCTACTCCTTCAGTTTCTGGCGATGAGGATAACTCTGTCGGCGCTGAGATATCAAACTTGTCGATCGATGATGCGGGATCTGATACTACCGGTACGTCGACCCTCGAGAACGAGGACACTTGTTTGTACTAATTGTTTTTTTGTTTGCAAGAAGAGTCGATGGAGAAACAGGAAAAGTGTAAAATTTTGCACAAGGGGTTCAGGTTTTTTGTATGGTATAGATGGGATACTCGGACCCGTGACCGATCCGAAAAATTTTGGTCCGGAACTTGCAGGTGTAATTGTGTGCTTCTTGATGTCCAATTCTTTTGGACCAAAAGTGGGAAATCGAGTAATGATGAGATGGAATCGAAATAATGCGGTGTGTAGTTGTTTGTATATCGTGAGAAGATAAGAAAGAAAAGGTTAAGGTAACATTCACATGTGAATCGTTCAACAAATCTATTTGAAGATTCAAACGTGAACGACATTATAGATCATTTTTATGAGTTCACATATTCGTTTCCAAATGGATTTTTCAGTGAATCAAGTATGAACGCTTTTCTTCTTATTTTCTTACGATATTTAGCCTTCTTATTTGAACCTCGACTTCGTTTATATTAATGAATTGATGGTTTGTGTTTTGGAGTTTAGAACGGATTTTCTTTTTGGAAAAATCAAAATCGTACCCTTGTGGTTGTATTTTTAACAAGCTGGTTATTGTGGTTGCATTTTATTAACGAGTTGAGTCCATGTGGTTGCAGTTTTCAACGACGTAGGCCCTAATAAATTAACGAGCTGAGTCATATGGTTGCATTAGGGAACCGGTTTGTTAAAAAATGAAACCATAGGGATCCATCTTGTTAAAAAATGAAACCATAGGGATCCAGCTTGTTAAAAATTGAAACCATAGGGATCTAGCTTCTTAGTTTTTCAAAATAAGGACCAGATATGTTAGAAAAACCAAACTACAGGGACAACAAAATATTAATTGCTAATTTGCTCTCCATAACGATGCTCCAACTTTGGAACGTCTTCCAGATTTCAATTCTTATAATAGGTTTTATTATTTTAGAAAACATTCAACGAACCAAACTCCCTCTTATTGTAGTGAGTAGTGATGGGTAAACAGGCCTGGTTCGGCTCGGGATTGTCGGAGGATCGGGACCAGGACCAGCCATGGACCAGCCCGGCCCGGGACAGGTAAGAACCGGTTATACGACCGATGATGAATTTGGGGTGTTTCGCGGGACCGGGACTGGTTATGGATCGGCCCGGCCCGGCCCGAATTTTAAAAAATGTATCCGTTATTTTTTTTTTAAAACTAACCGTTTATCACCATTTTTTAGCCCTTTTTTGTATTTTTTTTTTGTCTTCTAAACATTATATATAGGTGTCTTGGTTGAGGGGTCTACATACCAAGTTATCGATTTGCAAAAAATGCAAAAAGATGTTCACAATTATCGGTTTCTCGCTATATTTTGTAAGATAATATAATTTTATTATAATAAAATCCATTGAGTGATTCAATTATAAATTTTATATTGTATTAAAAATATATATCATTACAAAATTATTTTTTAATAAACGGGATCGGTTGGGACCAGGACTCGCGACCCATAACCGGTTACAATAAAGCTTGACGGGACTCACCTTTTTCGACCGAGACCGATTATGGCAGGATCTGTAGAGACCCCGGACAGACCCAGGACCGGTTTACGCCATCACTAGTAGTGAATCACTTTTAATAGGGTTTAGGGTTTTTTTCTACATTATTATTTAAAGAATTTTAATTGATGTTATTTACATTTTTTTCAATCATTAATAAAATAAAAAGTAATATAATAATAATTTAATTTTAATTTTTTAATAATAATTAATAAATATGTGAAATTATGTAAATTTATCTATAAATATATACCATAAATTTTCATTTATCGCTTCGCTTCCCTCTTTTCGGTCGACAATGGCGGACTCCGGTCTCGTCTTCTTCTCCGCCATTGTTGCAGCTCTATCCTATACTTATTTCATCTCTTCAAACCTTCCCAAAGGCATTTACAGACTCATCTCCCTCCTCCCCATCTTCTACCTTCTCACCATCCTTCCCCTCCTCCTCTCCTCCGCCTTCACCATCGCCGTCGCCGCCTTCTTCTTCACTTGGCTGGCCAATTTCAAGCTCCTCCTCTTCACTTTCAATCACGGCCCACTTTACCCACCAAAAACCCTCATTCAATTCATCGTCGTCGCTTCCCTTTTCGTCAAAATTAAACCCCAAATTTTCAACCCTAAAACGAAATCGAGTGTAAATCTGTGGATTGAATCGATGCTTTTCCCCTTACTGATCAATTTTGCGTATAATTACAAACACGAATTGAATACTCACGTTTTGTTAATCGTTTATTGTTTTATAGTGTTTATTCTGATTGATCTTCTGGTTTTCGTTTCGAACGCCGTCGTCGGAGCGGTGGCCGGAGTCGAGCTTGAGCCACCGTCGGACGAGCCGTACCTATCGACCTCCTTACAAGACTTCTGGGGTCGTCGATGGAACCTCATGGTAACAAATAGCCTGCGACACACAGTATACAAACCCGTGAAATCTGTTCTTCCGGCGAAGGATTGGGCGACTGCGACGGCGGTCATCGCGACTTTTATCGTCTCCGGTTTGATGCACGAATTACTGTTTTACTATGTGGTACCTGTGAGTCCCACGTGGGAAATGACGTCGTTTTTTGTGCTCCACGGGATCTGTCTCGTTGTGGAGCTAAAGGTGAAGAGAGCAATGGCCAGAAAATATGAATTCCCGACGGTGGTTGCAAGGCTGTTGACGGTGGGGTTTATAATTTTGACGAGCTTTTGGTTGTTCTTTCCGCCGTTGATCAAGAGTGGTGCTGATGTCAAAGCGTTGGAGGAATTTAAATTCTTTGTTGATTACGTGAAAAACTTGTTTACTTCGCCGTGGATGTGATCGCCACCGTCTCTGGCGGCGGCGGTGATTGTCTGAAAAGTCCTCTGCACGATGGCTGCATGAACAGTTCAAACAGATATTCTTGTGATATCGACACTGTATCAATTAAGCTTGTATTAATTATAATTGTTTGTTACTTGAATTAAATTTGTATCAATTTTCATTTTGTTAACCATAAATTATGTTAAAGGTTAAAGGTTTATTGTAATTTATTCAACATTAATATGTGAATCTATATGAATAATCTGTAACGTTTGTTTACATATGCATTTTTAAATATTAGAAGAGTATTCGTGCAATGCAGCTTGACACATCTTGATTTTAATGTTCTATTTTATTATTTGTCTTTGTCAATATTATAATACGATTTTATATGTTTTTAAGAAAACAATAATAATTTTATTTTTGAATAAAATATAAATTTGAAAAAAAAATATCAATGTTAATATCAAATCAACTATTTAAAAGTTTTTATTTTTTATGTAATTTTTTTAATTTTTTTTTTCATTATAATTTAATTTAAGGTTAGTAATAAAATAATTTATATTTGGTTTAATAATATAACATTTTATAAACATAATAATTAAGTATTATGTTATATATCAATGATTATCTTAATTATATTTTAGATTTTTTATATTTAAAATAAGATGTTTATCATGTATTTGATTATGTTTATCTGCAGTTAGTTACACGAATTCAGGAGCTTTAATAAGTTGTAATTAAATACAATCTACTTGTAATCTTGAGTTTTAAGTAATATGCATTAATAAATAGTACTTTACGCATAAAAAATGGTTTTTAAGAGTTTTTGTCAAATGCTTTATAATATAGTATAGATATATATTTTTTGGAACTTTTAGTTGATTTACATATGAATTTTCATTTAACATTTCCTCCTTATTTTTTTACGATATTTAAAATTCTTATTTAAATCAGCGCCTATAATTTTATAGCGGTGATTTCGTTTACAAACTCAATGGTTATTACAAATCATGCAAACCAATTAATTGAGATATTTATAAAAATAATGAGAGTTCATTTATTATGATTTGCATATATATGAAAGATTATCAAAGTTCATTTACCATAATCAACGTTTTATACTAGGAAGAATTGGGATATTTATTAAACTAGATATTCAATAAATTACTTACGAAGTTTATACTAATATAACGGTTAATAAATGATCTGTAACCTCTTCATATCACAAAATTGGGAAATTGCATGAAAAATTAATGTACTTTAACTTGATTCATATTTTGGATAACGTACTTTTAAAACTTCCATTTTAGTACCTAAGATGTAAAATTTTAAACATTTAAGTATCCGGGTAACTGGTTAAAGCATTAACCGGTTACCATGCTGATGTGGCGAGTGATTTGATTTACCTTTTGAATTTAAAATTCAATAAAAATTTATACTGAGTTGGATACCACATCATTCGCCACATCAGCATGGTAACCGGTTAATGCTTCAATTGGTTACCCGGATACTTAAATGTTTAAAAATTTACATCTTAGATATCAAAATAAAAGTTTTGAAAGTATTTTATCCTAAATTTAAATCAAGTTAAAGTAGGTTATTTTTTTATTGCAATTTGTAAAATTAGAAGAGACTAATGCTTTCTCACTGAATTGGGCTTAGGGACTTTAAAATCAACTGATTGATGGGTTTAAGCCTGTAGGCCCAATTGAAATTATTGGGCCGACAAGAAACCCGTTGATGACGTCAGAAGTCGTTTTTATCGGTCGGAATATTGGAAGTTAGCGGATCAATTAAATCCGGATCGACGAGCTTCGACGACCACAAGAAAGCAATCGCCGGTCACCGGAGATCGGATTCGTTGTGTATTTCCGTCAATTACTGTTTTACATATATAGATGTATACATATGCAATTATCCGTATGAATTAGGGTTCATTTTTCTTCTTCTAAAGCGGTTAGATATTTGGGAATACAGATTTCGCTATTGGATTTGGACTTTGATATTGATTCGAGTGGCTAGATCGATCTAATGCGATGGGTTTTATGCTTACAACTCTGATTTTCATTGTTATCGGAATGATTGCGTGCCTTTGCACTCGAATCTGCTGCAACAAGGGACCTTCTGCTAACCTGTATGCTCCGATTTTACTTCACTTGGTCTCAGATTCGATGAATGTTTGATTTTGTTAACATATATACATTACTAATGTAAATTGTTGCTTTTGTGGAGGAGTAGTTGCTAAAAGAGGGCTGCATTGATTAGAACTGACCTCACTGAAATTGTGATTATTGTTCTATCTTTTCAATTGATTACATACACATTTGATCAGATCTTTCCTTGTAAAAACTTTTGCTTGGGATATTAGTAATTAGCATAAAGCTCTTACTGTTTAGGAACCAGTCAGCTCTCAGTATTATAATTATTGTATTCTGTAGGGTTAACCACTCTTCATACTTACTAATGCTTTCTACTGAAGAATAAACAAAGATTGCTATACTGAGAATTCTTCCATTGCTTTTTCATGGTAAATTTCTACTTCAGTGTGTGATTCGTCACAACTTTAGTGCAGCCATTAAGCAATGAATATCTTGTTGAAAGAGGTTTTGCTACAGTCAGTGTGTGACCAATAAAGCATTCAGTGGTTAGACTTAGATGATCATTCAACCATGCATACTATCTTTTTCCATCTGGCTAGGATGATGTTGGTTATTTATTTATTAAGTAATGAACGTAAAAGGTTCAAATAAAATTTGTTGAGCAATACAATTGCCATTGTATAACTATTCAGCACATACTTGTTATTTGGATGATCAATACCATGTATTTTCATAAGAAGTACTGGTCAGTTCGTTGAAAACTTCAGTAGACTTACACATAAGCACATAAGGGATAAGTGTGGAGAATGTGTTGGGCTTGCTTTTATCATAATCTATCTTAGTAACTTATGATGTATGCATGATGTTCATGTCACAACTAGATAACCATTGACATGTATATATATGGTGCAGGTTCCACCTTACATTGGTGACTACTGCAACTGTATGCTGTTGGATGATGTAAGTTTGTTTTCTTGAGCATTAACTGAAGTTTCTTAGTAAATATTGAAGATCAATGATGGTATAATGTGAATGTAGAACATCAATCTGCTTATATGTGAGTCCTTTGAGGTGCGTTTGGTACGCAGGATAGGACGAGATAGAACAGAACAAAAACTTGATGTCCCACATTTGACATGACAATTAGACCAGGACAAGACAAGACTAGACTGAGTGGGATACAAATTCAGTTTTTTTGTCCCACCAAAATAAGTGGAACAAAAACCAGGGACATGAGACAAGTTAGGTAAGTTACTAAACTACCCATGTAAAATTAAAACCTTCCACAATTTTTTCACCTGCCTACAGCCTACCTCACTCTCACCAGGCTTGTCATGTCCATTCCAGTCCTGTCATGTATGCGTACCAAATGCACCCTAAATGGCATTTTCCCCTTAGGTGGACTGCATACCATGTATGGAAGGTGGCAATTCATATCAAGCTGAAAACTTCTGCCATGTGTTTTTAGATAATTTCAGGATGGTCTCTTCATGTCAGGGAAGACTAAGCTTTTAGTGGTTGTAAGTCTGTAAATTATGATGCTCCATGGATGCCTAGCAAGGATTGCATTATGAATAATATTAATGCATTATTGCAAGCTTACTTTGGAAGCACCATTGAGAGGCTAGTAGTCATGGAAACACTTGACATTGTCTGAACCAACACACAACATTATCTAGCAGTTTTTATAACCCAAATAATATGGAATTCCTGATAATTAGGGCCCGTTTGGTTTGACTTTAAGGTTTTGAGGGATTTGGCTTTCATGGCAGGATTTGAAATTGGAAGAATTTGGAATTTTTGTGTGTTTGGTTTGTAGGATTTGGAATGGAATTGAATTCCATTTTTTATAAATAATTTATAAAAACAAATTATAAGAAATTATAAAGATAGTTAAATTGCCTCTTTATTAATTGATTATTACAAGCAGTGTTTTTAACATATTTTAAAACATTATTGCAAACAAATCATACAAAATCCTGCGAAATATCAACTACTCCCAGGGATTTTAAATCCCATGTTTGTGGGATTTCAATCGAGACTTCAAATCCAAGCATTCCTTCAAACCAAACATAGGATTGGGATGGACTTTAACTCCAAATCCTATCAAATCCTGCAAACCAAACAGGACCTTATGGGTTTTTTAGGTAAAACCTAGTCCTATATGATTTGATGTGTATTGGATGTTTGCATGTCAACATCTAAAGAAGTCTAAAGACCCCTCTTCATCCCATAAAAACAAAGGATTCCAATTTCAACTTTTGAGTGTTAAATAGGCAACTTTAGCCTCAAAATTGAAATAAATATGTGTATCTAAAGAAATCAGCAATACATCAAACCATAAAAGAAGTGCTGCAGGTAAGATATTTTGGTGTCAATAATTAGATTTACTAATCATTGTTCATTTTACGTTTTAAGTTTTAAAAATGAAAAATTGTCTCGCTTTTTGCCTTTTTGGCATGGAGGGAGTAATATACATATAATGTTCCCTTTCTTCCATATATCATGTTTGAAGGTGTCTTCATCCTGCTTGCTGCTGTATCAACTAGAACCACCTTTCTTTTTTTTATGGACCATTCTAGAATATTATTGACGCTAAACCTTAAGCTGAAATTCAGATGGTTCTTTCCACGAGAAATATATGCAGTATTTTTTCTTGATCTTTGTCGGGGTGATTCAATTAGGTTTCTTTTACTAGAGAGACGTGGGAAACCACCCCAAAGGAATTTTGAGCACCCTATTCATCAAGCCGAGCATAGAATTCAAACTTAAGACCTCTAGTTCATCTAGTATGGAGTCTTAATCATTTGGACACAAAGCTAGCCAAGATTTAGGGGCTATTTACTTCCTGCATACCTCCTCTTATCGGGTAAGAGCTGGTTAGAGGCTCTTACCCGGTCAGAGATGTTGTTCACTTGGTAAGCTAAGGGACTCTTACTCGGTCAGTAATTAGTATTGACAAGGATGACACTCTTACCAAGTTAGCATTTACCCGATTTGTGTTGATAAACGTCCCCTTAGAGAGTTAATTTGGTGATGCCATATGTTTTTCAACCACTTTCACACTGTTGCACATGTCAGGGGTCTAAGGTCTTCACAGGAGCAGCCACTCTACCTTTAGGGTACATCCCACCCCAATCTCTAGTCTCTAGTAGTATATCACGGGGTTGGGTTGGTATATATTTTTTAACGAAAGCTATATTTTATGGGTATCGCAGGTGGGCAATTGTTTATCTTGCACAAATGAACCCACTTATTGTTCCAATTCTAAGTGAAGGAGAATGAAGCATCAAAGATTTATGGTTTATGAATGGAAATTAGGAAGGAAATTGGTGAATATGTAAAACTATTTAAACAAATTGGTGAGATTTGTATGTAATCATTATGGACTGCATTTGTTTCTTGTTATTTAACCAGTGGCTTTCTAGCTCAGTTTTGATTTTTGAACAGCCACTTCATGAAATAAATTGACCTGTCACCTCTTCCTACATAAGCTTTTTTCTGTCTTTTTGGAGAAATTATGGTACATTCGATTTCTTATTGTCCGTTTGGTTTACGGGATTTGGTGGGATTTGTAGGGATTTGGAATTGAATTGCATTCCATTCATGTGTTTGGTTTAAAAGAAAGTTTTGGATTTGAAATCCCATAGACGTTTAGAAATCCCTTGGACATGATTGTGGCTTTAAATCAAATTTTGGAACTCATTTTTTGATGAAAATTTGTGTTTTTTATATATCAAAGTGTTGGTAAAAATGTTACCAAGGGTTTGCTGCAAAAAAAATGAAGAAAAAAGGTCAAGAAACGAGTCATTTTGCGAGCTCAAAATGCAAAAATGCGAGCAGCCATGGCTGTTGGTACGCCTGGGCTGCGACATTTTTCCGATCCATGGGTTTTAATTGTTTTCATTGCATCTTTACCGCGCATCTTCCATCAAACCTGACTTAATCTTGCCATCGCCCTTAAACAAACATTCATTTACAAAAATTAAATTTCATTCTAAATCATGCAAATCAAACACTCTTAAGAACTAAGCATTTATGGTCTGTTTGATTTGATGGACTAAATTTGAAAGACTTGGATTTAAAATATTTAATGTGTTTGGTTTGTAGAATTTAAAATGAAATTGATTTCCATTTTTTTATAAATAATTAAATTGTTTTTTATTAATTGATTTTTAAAACAAATATTTTAACATATTTTAAAACATTATTACATGCAAATCTTACGAAATCCCATGAAATACCAACCACCTCATCAGGATTTCGAAATCCTATGTTTGCAGATTTCAAATCCAGAAAATCGTTTAATCCAAACAAAAGATTGTAGAACCTTATATCACATTGAAGGTTGGTCAAAAGATATCACCTTCAACCACAAAGGTGATGTCCGATTGGTTTGAGCTTGGACTACAAAGATCAAAAGTGTTTGGAGGTCTTAGGTTCGAATCCAAGGAGAAATAAAAATCTTCTTGTTGCCATGGAGATTCAAATGATATGACTTCGGACGACCCACGAAGCGGGTGGCCACTCTGGGTTCGCATAACGGGTTGGAGGTTCAGGTTAATCCAAAAAAAGGATACTAGCTTCTTCTTTTTTTGGTAACCATAAGCCCCAAAAATCTCTAGTCGTCTTAAAAAGACTCAACCCAACGACTTGTAAGGAGCAATGGAGCATCAAAGTGTAGCTTTTATTTTTCAGTCAAAACATCGTATTACCGATAAATAACCCTTTCAGAAGCTGTCAAGGCCTAACGGTATCATAGTCCTTGACCTCTTAGGAGGTCAGGGGTTCAAATCTCACAAAAGGTGAGAAGGATATGTAAATTTATTTGTTACATTTATCATATATAAATATTATATACTTTAAAAAAAGATTCAACAACTCAAATTACCACGACACACCATCAAACAAATGTTTAGCAACTCAGAATTTTGTTCTTTGGTAGGCACAAAACACTGAATAGATATATATATAGCATCAAAGGAGCAAGAAACCGGCGTGTATTTGCACTCGACAGCCGTCCAATTAACCAAAAAACACAAATTATTACACACACAAAGCACTCGGATCACCAGTATAACAAGTCGGTCTTCACACGGAGCTAGATACGCTTTGCATCACAAGTATTTTAGGATCAACCATAGAGCCAAGACTAGGACCGCGATTCCGATCAGAGACAATAGCATGCACAAGCAGGAGCAACCACCCTTGGTCCGTTTGTTCAGAACCGCCAGGTTCTTCTGCACTCTCTGTTATAAAAACAAGGCCGAGATACAAGTTATCAAACACCAAGCAGAGATCATGCATCACGCAACTTGTAATTGGTAAATGATCAAAACAAGCCAAATTGACCCGAAAGTAGGGGTGTAAACGACTCGAGCTTTTAACGAGCTACTCAAGCTCGAGATTAATAATTCTCGAGCTCGAGTCGATCTTGAACACAAAATAGAACTCGTTTAACTTAACGAGACGAGCTTCATAAAACCAATGTTCAACTAGGCTGGTTTGAAAGCTCAATTAAATTTTTTGAGCCGAGCCGAGCCATTCGAGCATATACTTTTTCGACTTAAGCATACTCATCATATATGTTCATAAAGAATACAATAAAAAATAAAAATGATCAACCTTGAGCCAATAAACGAGTTAATTAATTAATAGCGAGTACGAGCCCATAAACGAGCATCGAGCTCAAGCTCGAGCCCTACATTGAAAAAGTTATTCGAGCTCGAGCCCTACATTGAAAAAGTTATTCGAGCTCGAGCTCGAGCCTGGTATAATTTTTTGAAACCGAGCTCGAATAACCTACTATTCGACTCGACTCACGGCTTGTCTCATTTACACTCCTAACTGAAAGTAGGGTGTGGAGAGTAGGATGTACACAAACTTGTCCTCAACCCCAAAGAGTAGACCAGTTGTTTTTGTGAAGACCATGGGCTTGTGCAAAAGTGTGAGCAAAAAGGTAGAACAACAAAGACTGACACATAAGAATCACAGAATGAGAAAAACGAGTAAGAGAAGTAACGAGAAGGCACATTGAAAACAGTTCTAGATATTACATTAAAAATGGCAACTTTCAATTGGTTGCCTTCTTGTGAAACGGTGGTAAAGTAATTTTTAAGGAATGTTGTTTAATATAGTGGAATTTAACATATTTGGAAGTACCAACAATCTGTTTATGACAAGTAGTAGGAGCTGAAATTAAGAGCATCCACAATGGTAAGTTTTTTAGTTAAAGCTTTTTTTCTCCAAAATAGTGGGACCCACAAACTTAAGTGACCAAACAAAACAAGCAAAAGTGGGACCCACAAGCCTATTGGGAGCTTGTACAGTTACAAGCAAAAAGGGTTTTTCTCCTTTCATAATCTTTGGTGGCAAAAAGACTTCTGAAAAAAAGCTCAATTGTAGATGCTCTTGGGGATATATGAACTGCTCGGTTGATCACCATGATAAAAGTTGCACTGCTATCAAGTAAGCATTATTAGCAAGAGTCTAACCTTAAGTCGGGAGTCTGTAATGTCTACATGTTCATCCAGGTCATCCTGCATATCAAAAAAGAACCTTTAGATCACTTCCATTATGGCCTATTGATTTTATAACTTCTAACGGGAGGCTTAATGATAACGTATTGGAAATAAGTGAAAACAGGAGAATGGCATACGATAAGTCTAGTGTGCAGGTCAAGTTCCTCATTGACTGCCAAAGCAATATGTTTGGTACTTATCACTGTTTCCTCTAGTTTCTCTAGGCCTTCATCTTGTTCTGCATAAAGAAATTCGAAAATCAAATAATTGATTACAAAAAAAGACTCGAGACGAATATTACAAATAACAAAAGAACCCTACCTGAAAGTCAAGAAGAATAATGTGTTCAAGCAGCCCTTGCATTAATTGTTTGAAGTGCAATATATTTTCTAAATTAGAAAAGGTCAAATAAACCAAACAAGCCCACTATATCCCACTGGGAGGTGGGAGGGGGGGTATAAGATGTACACATATTTGACCTCTACCCTAAAGTGTAGAGCAATTGTCTCCATGAAAGACTCCCAGCTAATGAGAAGTGTGTGAAAGGGAGAAATACAGATATGCTACAATTTGAAAAGTTAGATATGAGTAAAAAATATAGCAATACAGATAGCAATAGAGAAAGACAGATAGCTAAATTAGAAAGGGTTGTCAATAATAATAGCAGCTTGCCTCTCATAATTTGTCTCTGAAGCCCGACAACACCAGAGTTATCCAACCCAGCTGCTCTGCTCATGGCATCAGCTGGCTTAATATCTGGCCCAAGCAAGCTGTCCCTATTAGCAAAGTTTGACATGTTCAATGTGGAGGCCATCTGTGTTACCTTTGTTCTCAAATTTCCAAGCATGTCTCTGCGTCGATTCATCTCTTTCTCTGTTCTGCAATAAAAGAAAAAAGAATCCTCGGTTATTACAAGATTTTATTACAGTTTCAATGAAGTTCCAGAGACAAAAGCAAGTTAGTTTAATGTGTTAAACTTCAGATATGGTATCTGGCACGGATTAGGAATTGAAAGCCGAGACAATAAGTTACTTTAAAAAGATCTAACATTGGAATATTCTGATACTATACGTACAAAATTTGATATTAAACTAAGCAATCACATGTACATAATAACGTCACTGAATGCCTGATAAGGATTCTATGATTCTATACGATTTCCACTTATTACTGTTGATAAATACACCAACAAAAGAACTTGCAGACTAGTTTTATTGAAAGGCGTGACAATTTCATGCTTGTTGACCTAAAAACTACTCCATACATACCACTAGATTGCAGTTTTGATTTATAAAAATTACGCCTAGTCCTTCTCAAATTTAAAATGTGCATCCATAGTTATAGTTTTGCGGAGCAAAATATTCTCTACCTTAAAGCTCTTCTTATATATTAACGCAATTGTCAATTCTTCTCAATAACTAGTGGCTTCTTACCAATGTTGAAGTTTATATCTAATTAATTTGACTCTCATATATCAAATGTGGACTATAATTTTGTGATGGGGGTATTAAGTTCATGTACCGCATACCAACATAAACACATATAGACTATCCCTGGAGATTCTTTATAAACCCAATTTACAGAAAGAAAGTAGATCATGGACGAAAACCTTCCAGATAAAGATGAGCTACACCCCATGTTAGATGCAGCACCTCGGCAACCAAATGGTGTTCCCTATAGAGTGGTTATAAGCCAAATGACATGAGGAAATAATAATTAATTACTTCTCAGGTGTCCCCAGCTTTTTTGCAGAAGGTTAGCGAGTCATGAACACTTAGCAGTTAGCAGCTTCGTAGGCATGAGAAGAGCTACTCTATTGTATAAAAACAAGCACTCCAATGGCTAAAATTCCTGTAAAACATAAGTAGTATATGTGCTTCCTATTCGACTATTACAATCAGATAATTAAGTTCATGAGAACTATATCATATACAAGATCTTCTAAGCCTCTTTATGAAGAATATAGATTTGCATATTGCTGATAGGTTAACAAGCTAGAGGTGCATGATATTGGCATGATTATGGATACGTTTGGATGGCCATGTACGCACCAACAAATTTGGAGATAGTGCCAATGAATGTAATAATTAAAGACTTGGTTGCCTATGGATCTTATGCATATGTCTCCTCCAAAATAACTGATTTTCCCACAAACAACGAGAATCTTTGTGAAATAATAGCATGTTATCCATGTTGGTATGTCAATATACCGAAACTCAAGCTTCCTCGTTTATTAAATTACTAAGATCTCTATATGTTTATGTCTATCCATCTACGGACGTTCATCGGTTCTCAGGAAAATCAGAATTGCTGTTAGTAGCGATTCCATAAAAGCTACACTTCAGCCAAAAAAAATTACAGCAGAATTTGCAGAATAAGAGCAGAATAGTCTCTGGTAGTGCATTAATAAGAGCAGAATTTGCAGAATAACGTGATAGGGACACGTCATAGATCTAATAAAGTAATGTGTGAATGGTTTGCTGCTGTACTACAAATAGAGGCAAGACATCATTCGATGGAAGAATTTCAATAGACAAACAAACCAACATTCTTACAATGGTTGTTTAGCAGGAAGCTTTGTCAGAAGAGACTGTAAGCTATCAAGTCTGGTTCCCAATATCGTAATTTTCCGCCTAATAGCAGATGCATGACGCTGTGCTTCTGGCCCCGACCCAATGGAATTCCTCTCCGATATCATGCTGGTGATATCATCAGCAAGTTTAGAGGCTTCATTGTATTCCCTCGTCCATGGATCCGATGAAGAAGCCATTTGTCTAAAACACAATCAACAAAAACTGTAACACCTCAATTACCCATGACCATTATACAATCAACTCCGTTACTTCATAGTAAGTAGTAACAATCAAAATCTTGCTATAATCATAGCAAACAAACAAGTAATCCGAATTTATAGCACCCCAAACTAGGGTTTCAAATTCGAACATGGTTAAAGAAAGGAACGAAACATCAGTCGCTATGAAATTAGGTCATCTACGTCATTCTTCCATAACAGAACATTATAGCTTTGTCGATCTGGATACAATCACTGTAGAATTCCCAAATTCTCAAAAATTAGGGCATCAATGAAGACAATCGATTTTCTAAAAATTTACATACATCTGTTTCCTTGAGTCAATAAGATGATCAAAGTAGATAACTATTTCCAGATTGAATTTCAATAACTGATTCATAACCGATAAATACGAAAAAAGGACCAAATTAACCGAAAAAGACTTACCTCAAATCCTCAACTGATCAGTGATATGGATTATGAGATTGAAATTGAAGCTGTGAATCGATCAAAAACAAGATGGAAGTAGAATCTAGAGATGATTATGATGTTAGGAGACAACACGGCGCCACCATTAACCGGCGAGCTTGTCTTTTGCTTTATCGTCGTCGTCTACATTTACAAATACATAATTTAATTTGACGAGATATACAACTCGTTAATTACTCGCAAGATAATGATTCAAGCTTCGAAACGACGACGCATTCACCGGGTTTGCCGAACGGGTCGGCCACGTTGTCGACCGACTGCTTTCTTTATTATTTCCTTTTAAATTATTTCAATAACACGTCAAAATTGTGTTTTTCTGAAATATTTTATTATATATCGATAATAAATATTAATAAAATAATTTATTAAAAAATAAAATACACAGTTTATGTTTGAAACAAAAATGAGGGAAAAGTTTATTAGACTTTTTGTTTAACGGACTACGATGGTGTTTGTTTTTTAAGAGGTGTTGAAGTCTAAAGTGTGGTTTTAATTATGATTTATAAGAGGTGGTTCTGAAGTCTGAAATCTGGATCAGTAAGATTATTTGTTTTTGTGTCTGAAGTCTGGTATTTGAATCGGTCAAATTAATACAAAAATGTAAAAGATAGGTAGTTTTTTACAGAAGTATAAAAGATAAATAGTTTTTACTGAAAAATCTCTTCCAGACCCCAGAATATGAACCATTTGGTAGAAGGCAGATTATGATTAAGAGATATTAAATAATACGTTTACCACTTAAAATTTCAGATGATACTTATTTTAAAATTAAAACAAACACTCTTAATACTCAAACATCTGAACGAAACAGACTTCAAATATATTAAGAGGTAATTTTCAAATTATTATTTTTTTCACTGTGAATAACTATCTGTTGAATAAACAGTTAATTATTTTCACTTTAAATGATTAACTATCTGTCTGTACATACTTTACTAATATGTTGTAAAAGAATGAGAATCAAAAGACAAATAACAGATAAAAAAGGAAGATATGTGAAGGGGAGCAATGTCATTGGATGTGAGGGCTTGAATGGTAAATCTGATTTATTTATTTTTTTACTTTATAATTTTCTAGTCATTTACATATAGTTTTTTGGTTAAAGTAACGTAGGTAACCAGTTTTAAAAAATTTAATGGTTTAGTTGTTCAAAAATTAATGTTCGTGAACTTAGGGGCCGTTTACCTAAACATTTACCCGGTAAGCACTTACCGGTAAAATTCAACACTATCGCTTACTTAGCGGGTAAGATTTTATTTTATAAAACGCATCGTATGCAACGATTTATCCTGGTAAGCGCTAACCATGGCAAGAGTCCTCGTCCCCCCTTACCGGGTAAGACACTCGATTCTTGTTTTCGTTTTTACCGGGTAAGATTTTTAGTCCTTGTCATATTCATTCGTTAAAGTAAAGTGACTTGGTAAGCGCTTATCCGAATAAGCGTTTGGTAAACGACACCTTAATCATTCAAAAAAAAAAAGTTCAATGGTTTATTTATTAAAAGAATTTGTTTAGGGTCAAACAAATAACGTTCAGTAACTTAATCAGTTGGTTGAACATTTTTGTTATTTTAGATATCCGGTAACCAAAAAAACGCGACATAAGTGTATCTGTCAAAGTAAATATTTAGAGTTTAACTTTATTTTACAGGTGTAATTCTGAATAAATATAGCGTAAGAACTGATGGTTATCCTTTAATCGAAAGTGTTTTATCAGTTCGTTATTTATTAGTTTTGCGAAATTCACAGCATTTCCAGTTCAAGGTTATTCTAAGCTAAAAATGCAGTGTCTTATAAGAAATACCATTGTGGAGAGGTTCTTATAGTAACCTAACATGTCATAGCTGTTTGAACAAAAATCTTGATTCTTACCATGATTTTTTTTTTCAGAAATGGTATTTTACTTATTTTTTATTTAAAAAAAAACATATAGATAATAATTATCTATACTGTATTATAAAACATTTGAGAAAAAAATCTTAAAATCCATTTTTATGCGTAAAGTACTGTTTATTAATGCATATTACTTAAAACTCAATATTACAAGTAGATTGTGCGTAAGTACAACTTATTAAAGCTCCATGTCTGAAATCGTGTAACTAACTGCAGATAAACATAATCAAATACAAAATAAACATTTCATTTTAAATATGAAAAATCTAAAATATAATTAGGATAATCATTGAATTCTAACAGAATACTTAATTATTATCTTTATAGAATGTTATATTATTAAACNAAATTAAATTATAATAAAAATAAATAAATTAAAAAAATTTACATAAAAAATAGAACTTTTAAATAGTTGATTTTGATATTAACATTGATATATTTTTTTCAAATTTATATTTTATTAAAAAATAAAATCATTATTGCTTTCTTAAAAATACATAAAATCGTATTATAACATCGACAGTGACAAATAATAAAATAGAGCATTAAAAATCGAGATGTGTCTCGCTACATTGTACGAGTACTCTTATAGTATTATAAAGCATTTGACAAAAACTTTTAAAAAAACATTTTTTATGCATGAAGTATTGTTTATTAATGCATATTACTTAAAAGTCAAGATTACAAGTAGATTGTGCGTAAATACAACTTATTAAAGCTCTCTATCTGAATTCGTGTAACCAACTGCAGATAAACATAATCAAATACAGTATAAACATCTTATTTTAAATATAAAAATCTAAAACATAATTAAGATAATCATTGAGTTTTAACATAATACTTAATTATTATTTTTATAAAAAATGTTATATTATTAAACCAAAATAGATTATTTCATTATTAAACTTAAATTAAATTATAATAAAAAATAAATTAAAGAAATTATAATAAAAAATAAGAATTTTAAATAGTCGATTTCATATTAACGTTGATATATATATTTTTTTCAAAATTTTATAATATCTTCAAATTTATATTTTATTAAAAAAAAATCATTATTGCTTTATTAGAAACACCTAAAAACGTATTATAACATCGACATGAACAAATAATAAAATAAAACATCAAAATCGAGATGTATCTCGCTGCATTGCACGAGTATTCTTCTAGTAAATAATAATAAGGATCAATCGTAATCTCGAGGTGGCAAAATATATTCAACCAAGTCAGAGCAGAGTTAATGATGAACTCCATTTAAATGCCTCTCATAGTTTCGTTGAATATATTCTTAAAATTTGTGGATAAAATATTGAAACTTGTGTTAATTACCTCTTCAACAAAACAATATAATAAGATAATTAAAATTAACTTATTAATATAAAAACCTTTATAGTAATTAATTTATATTTTTTCTTATTGATCTCAACTTATATGTTTTATAAATTATTAAAAGAAATAAAATGGTTAATAAAATAATAAATAAAATAATAACAGGAAAAAATGTACATAACAACTCGGGTTCTTGTTCAAACACATGAGTTCTAATAAGAATTTATAATTGAACAAAAATCTTTATTCTACAGTGGAAGTTCTTGTAAAATATCACAAGAAACTTTAACATGAACCTTCATCAGAGCATCTCAAATAATTTCTCTAAAATACAGACAAATAAAAAAAATGATGATTTTGAGTCAATATTTTGCTCCAATAGCTTTTCAAAAACTATCTCCAAAATGGAAAAAGTAGGAGAAATAATGGTTTATTCTCCGCATATGAAGAACACCCAAAAATTGGTTCGAGACCGTCAATAGGATACTTTAAAGATAAACTAGAAGGGTACTCGCGTAATGCAGCGAGATACATCTCGACTTTAATGTTTCGTTTTATTCTGTTTTATGTCCATGTTATAATACAATTTTATGTGGTTTGGGAAAAGATAATGTTCTTATTTTTTAATATATCATAAGTTTTTTATAAAAAAATATCGATATTAGTATCAAAATAACTATTTATAAACTCTTGTTTTGTTGTCCAGTTTATTTAATTCAAAATTTTCTTTTTATAATTTATTTTAGGTTTAATAACAAAGTAATTTATTTTTGAGTTAATAATATAATTTTTTTTATAAAAATAATAACTAAGTATTATGTTAGAGCACAATGATTATCCTAGTTATATTTTAGATTTTTACTATTTAGAACAAAATTTTTATCTTGTATTTGATTATGTTTATCTGCAGTTAGTTATACAAATTCAAACATGAAAACTTTAATAAATTGTAATTGTGCATTATTTTCTTGTGATATTGAAGTTTAAGTAATGTCTATACTATATTATAAAACATTTGACAAAAACTCTTAAAAATCATTTTTTATGCATGAAGTACTGTTTATTGATGCATATTATTTAAAATTCAAGATTACAAGTAATTTTGCGTAAATACAACTTATTAAAGCTCTATATTTTAAATTCATGTAACTAACTGCAGATAAACATAATCAAATACAAGATATACATCAATTTTAAATATAAAAAATAAAAAATATAATTAAGATAATCACTGAGTTCTAACAGAATATTTAATTATTATCTTTATAAAAAATTATATTATTAAATAAAAAATAAATTATTTTGTTATTAAATCTAAATTAAATTATAATAAAAAAAATTGAATTAAAGAAGCCAAAACCACATAAAATTTATTTATATTTCATTTAAAAATAAAAAATTACCGTTTTCTCAAAACCATATAAAATCGTATTATATCGATAGAGACAGAATAAAAACTAAATATAAAAAACCAAGATTTATCTCATTGCATTACACAAGTACCCTTCTAATACATCAATAAACAGTACTTCATGTATAAAAAATGTTTTTAAGAGTATTTGTCAAAAACTTTATAAAACAGTATAGATATTTAAAAATAAAAATAATATTTTAATATTATAGGAATATGTGGAGCAATTTTCCTTCAAAATTTGTTATGAAAAAACGTTGACTTGATTTTCTAATTCTTTGACCGCATTATCTAAAATTCCAACTTGAAATCGTGCCCCCGTCGTACAAATTCGGAGGGCACAGAAACCACCGCCGGACTGGTCCTAGTCCCTCCGTCCGATTAACAATCGGCGGTGGTCGGAAAGTATCATATTCCTCTATAATCTTCCCTCAGTTTTCAACAATCGAAAGGTATTAACGCTATAAATCTAAGAAGGGAGAGGAAGGGAAGGTTTCGTGCCGGAGAGAGGAAGGATGTCGGACCTAGACCGCCAAATTGAGCAGCTCAAGAACTGTGAACCACTCGCAGAGTCTGAAGTCAAGGCTCTTTGCTTAAAAGCTATGGAAATCCTCGTTGAAGAGAGCAATGTTCAAAGGGTTGATGCTCCTGTTACCGTAAGATTTTTTTATTTTTTTTTGTGCACCAGGCTACGATTCAGTCTTCACCGCATGAAGAAATCTGCTACTGATTGTAGGGTTTTATTTACCGTTAGTTTAATTTCTATCTGAAAATGCGATGAAGAATTCGTTTTGGAGTTTATTGCTGGATCCATGTTTCTAATGCTTTAGCTTGCATTTCGAATTGGAAATCTCATAATGGTTCAATGTGAATCTCAATTGCCCATTGGCACTTCATCTACTTCATCTACAGTAGGATCCGAGAAGGGAGGATGGTGACTATCAGAAGAGTAGGAAACAGATTTTTACTCCAATATTCTAGGGTTTACATTAAATCTTTTAAATGATTTCAACACAGTTAGTTGACCTCATTAGTGAAAATTGGGTTGGAAGTCCATTAAGACAATTTACTGGATTTGGAGAACACAAGTGTTTTCTACTTCTGTTGATTTGATATTATTTTCTGCTACATGTTATGGAATTAAAAATCATCTAAGAATTTATTGGTCTGTGTTATTTTGAACTATATGTTTCTACAATTGGTAGTAATACGGGTAACTGAAACTTTATGTAATTAGGGAACTTGGGTTGTTTCATCCAAGTATTTGCTGTTAGCAAGGTGTTTTTGTATTCTGTTAACTTTCTTGCCTAGTGTTTAATTAGTGATTTCTTCTCTTGTAAAGTGGTGAAATCCCACCCTAATGATACTATAGAGTGATTGATGTTTTCTCCACATAGTTTCTAATTATGTGATGTAACTAACCATTAAATGAGATGCTTCAATTTAGTGGCTAGTTGTTAGCTATCCGTTTCCAAAGCTCTTTCAGAAAGATGACCATATGCTTCCTAATTTCTGTGTTTAGCATGTTTTGTTCTGTAGTCCTTCAAAGTTGTTATCAAACATGAACATTAGCTGAATATTTTGTATCACTTGCTCGTGGACATATCAAAACCTCACAACTTATTCTGTTGTTTTTTGTTTCTGAATTATACACACATGACATAAATTTATTACTAAATCATCCTATACAGTCCAAGATGATGCAGTTCATGGTTTTTATATAATTTAGTTTATGAATGTAGCCCATATCTTACTTGGAAATTTGTGGATGTTATTTTGTGGTAGCCCTAAGGAAAATAATTTATACAGCTCGAAGTGCGGAAAAAAGAGATTAATCATTTATAAACCAAGAAGTATGTTGAAGATTCTAATCCACCAACCAATGTTGAGCAAGATACAGGTATAAACTCCAAGCGACAAGTTAACCATTGAGATATAATGATCAGCACAGATAAGGCAAATAGTGTTATAGCTGAGAATGAGATTAAGTAGGCACAAAAGCTACTCTTGGTGAACCAACCGCTGATTTTTGTGTTTCATTGCAACTGTTTTGATCATACATGCTGTCGTTTGCCTCTGGGTATTGGTTCGACTTACTCTCTCTTTCTGAAGGATATTCTAATACTTCTCTGTATGTTGTATTAGATATGTGGTGACATCCATGGACAGTTTTATGACATGAAAGAACTTTTTAGAGTAGGAGGTGATTGCCCAAAGACTAGCTACTTGTTTCTTGGGGACTTCGTGGATAGAGGGTTTTACTCCGTGGAGACGTTTTTGCTTTTACTTGCCCTGAAGGTAAAAGTTATGGTTCATCTATTAGATTTGTGTTTTGATGTATCTGCTTTATACAAAATAAGCAAATGTGGTGACCTGTGAGATGAGATTTGTTTCCTTGAGTTAGAGGTTCACATAATTTGCTCACAAGTTATCTAATTTTTTTTATTCGACAGTTTTCCATCAAGTCATAGTGTTTATAGTTTATTTTTTGTACATTCAAGTTTCTTTGCTCACATGTGCTTCTCACTAAAGGTAACAACTAGTTATTTTTGATGCCCAAGTCACCATGTTTGGTTATTCTTCGACATTTAGTATTTGTAGGTTAAAAACACAAGGAAATTACCTATTTCCGTGTTAGATGATTGTAACCATCATCATGAATAAGTGATGAACCAAAATCAAGATAAATTACAATTCAAGTTGCCTCATTTTTCATATATGTAATTCTTTAAAGTATTATAAAGAATTGAATCGACTTCTGCATCTATGGGACAGTCATTAATCGACTATTTGGAGTCGAAGATGATGTCAGCCATAGCGTCAAAGTATATGCAATTGTCATCATATTCTTTTTTCATAGATGTAGAACAACCACTTTTAAACAATTTTCTTATGACGACTTGACTATTTACTCTTCTTGATGCCTGTTTGCACACACTCTTTTGCTACTTTTTTCATGTGTCTCGTGCTCAATTGTTTCTTTTTAAAATATCCAAAAACTTTCACAACTTGTTGCAAGTTGGAAATCTTCAAGGAAACGGTCTCTCTACCCCTTTGGGTAGAGGACAGGTCTGCGACATCCTATCCCCCCAGGCCTTAGCTCCGAGTGTGATATATTGTGTTTGTTTAGTTTGGTTTTAACTTCACACATAAAACGTTAAGGCATTCAAATTAAGGGCCGCTTGTTAGCAGCTTAAGGAGCTTAATGTGACTCATAGCATATTTGGTCAGCTATACATGACTGTTTGGTATAGCTTAATGATATAGAAAGTGGCTTATTCTGTAAGCTTTTACGAGGGAGCTTTATGCAGAAAATCATGTTTTTTTTTTCTTTCTAAACCTTCCCCTCCCAATTAAAAAACACACTCCTTCCATCTATAAAAAACCCTCTCCCAAACAAAAACCTTCCCGATCTATTACAAACAGATTAATCCACACAGACATCTTTATCATTTATATTGCAAAATAGAGGAGTATCTGGATATTTCTTTTGGACCAACCGTTCTACATCAATGTTGACAACCATGAATGTAATGGATCTGAAAAGAACTTTTTGTGATAAGATGGTTTCTTGATACTGGAACCTTTTTGTTATTTTATGTTTTGTATGGTTGTAGTCATTATTCTACTATCGTAGGTGTTCTCTTTTAGCTAAATCACTGTTGTCGTCAGGTGAGGTATCCAGACCGGATAACACTGATTAGAGGCAACCATGAGAGCCGCCAAATCACACAGGTATATCAATCTTACTTGATTTGTAGGTTTCTATCTTGAATTTTTTCAGACCTTATGGATATTCTCTATGCTAGGTGTATGGATTCTATGATGAATGCCTTAGGAAGTATGGTTCTGTCAATGTTTGGAGATACTGCACAGATATATTTGATTACCTAAGGTTTGCTAAATTTCTTTCCTTCCTAGTGGTATCCAAACCTTTGGCCTCTCAGGAGGTCAGGGGTTCAAACCTCACCAAAGGTGAGGAGGGTGTGTGAGTTTATTTATTGCATCTGACATATATATTGTGTCAGGTTCAGGGGAAAATTGCAAAAAAGAAAAAACCGAGGAACGCACTGGTAACCGTTCATCTGGACGGTATGCACATGTGCATACAAGTATTTTGCAAGCAATTTGTCTGGTATGCCCATGTGCATAACATGCATTAAAACAAAGAAATAGCTTCAATTACTTGTATGCACATGTGCATACTGTCCAAATAGAGTACTAGGATGTTTCTCAGCTTTTCATTTTTTAAGGGTTTCCACTAAACCTCCCTCTATATACACACACACACACATATAAATATTATATACTTCAAGTTATTGCCATTTACGTCCAAGGGGGAACCCATCATCGGACTTGGAATCTTTATGTAAGAAAAAAAGAATCCAGGCACGAGGCACCACATTCTTAAATAAGGTGTCATGAATGGACTAATTCATACTGATTTTGGCCAGAAATAATGCTTATTAGGCTTGCAACTACACAAGTTATTAATAAATGATTTAATTTTCACATAACGTACAAAAACATTTTGTAGAATTGTTTTATTTGATTTTTGGCCACAACAATATGAAAATAAGTAATAATAATTAATATGACTAAAGATACTTCAAAATAATTAATAGTATTTAATAAAATTAACTAAACAAAATATGATTAATAATAATCGATAATTAAATACTTAATATTAATATTTATAAATTAATAGTTAAAAACTAATTAAGCAACCGAGTACCATAAACATAAAATGCATAAGTGAATGGATCCAAAAGGTACATTGTGATGACATAGCCCACATGGATGTAAAATGAGATTGTGAGCTCTTTATAAACCCCAAACTTGTGGGCTATCAATAACTTCAGCCTACCCTATCTCCTGCCCTACCTCTGTGTGGGATTTACTGGCTTTTAGTTTGGTTTGATTTATTTCTGGTATCTTGCTTACACCATTTGAATCTGAAATTTTTACAGTTTGTCCGCTCTCATTGAGAACAAAATTTTTTCGGTTCATGGTGGTCTCTCTCCTGCTATCAACACATTAGATCAGGTTTGGGAAACGCCAAATACGACCCCTTCTATCGTTTTCCGTTTTTCATTTTTCCTGCCTGAACGATCTATTACCGCAAAATAACTTGCCAGATTCGGACAATTGACCGGAAGCAAGAAGTACCTCATGAAGGTGCCATGTGTGACCTCCTATGGTCAGACCCGGAGGATATCGTGGATGGGTGGGGTTTGAGTCCTCGTGGTGCCGGTTTCTTGTTCGGTGGCAGTGTCGTCACTACTTTTAACCACACCAACAACATTGATTACATTTGTCGAGCTCACCAGTTGGTAATGGAAGGTTACAAATGGATGTTCAATGACCAGATAGTTACTGTCTGGTCGGCTCCAAATTACTGTTACCGGTGAATTCTCAAACCTGAATTGAGTAGAAAATTCTCCATTTTTGCTGTGATCAAGAACAGTTATTTTAATCGATATTTAAATTTGATGGTTGCAGGTGTGGTAATGTAGCTGCCATTCTTGAGCTGGATGAGAATCTCAACAAAAAGTTTCGCGTATTTGAAGCCGCCCCACAGGTTTGTACATTGGGATCTTCACCTGTATATATTCAAGTGGAAAATGTAAGCATTTGGAGATGTCGATTGGTATACCGAGGCCATTTATTTGTAATGCCTTGAGCCGAAATTAACATGCCAAGTCAACTTAAAACCATGTTGGAAGTTTGTTAGTAGTCATTAGGGTGCGTTTGGTAAGCAGACGAACCTGGACCGGACATGATTGGATGAGTGAGAGTTAGGTAGGCGGGTGAAAGAGTTGTGGAAGGTTTTAAGGTTTTAATTAGACATGGGCAATTTAGTAATTTACCAATCTTGTCTCGTCTTTATGATTTTTTGTTCCACTTATTTTGGCAGGACAAAAAAAATAAAATTTTGTCCCACTTAGGTCATGTTAGGGTCTGTTTGTTAGTAGCTTAATGAGCTTCATGAGACTCGACGCTTATTCGGTCAGCTATACATTACTGTTTGGTAGGGGCTTAATAATATAGAAAGTGACTTATTCAGTAAGATTCTAGAGGGAACCGGGAAGTTTATGCAGAAAGCCAAGTTTTTTCCAAACCTGTCCATCCCAATTAAAAAACGCGCTCCTTCTATCTATAAAAAAACCCTCCTAAACAAAAACCTTCACGACTCTTAGACCTCCACTCCCTCTGTCTATCTATACCGACAAGTTAATCCACATAGACAACTTAATCCACACAGACAACTTTTTTTTTTTGAAGTATATAATATTTATATACGGCAAATGCAACAAATAAACTCACACACCCTCCTCACCTATGGTGAGGTTTGAACCCCTGACCTCCTAGAAGGTCAAGGGCTACGATACCGCTAGGTCAAAGGCCCTTTGGTCACAGACAACTTTATTAATACAAGACTTAATGGAAAACCAACCAAACAACCTCTTACGACTCTTAGTCATAGTCCAAGGTCACGCCAAACGTGAGACATGTTTTTATATTGCCTTGTCCCATGTACCAAATGCATCCTAAAGACTTACAATCTTCATGGAAACAACCGCATAGACACATCTGTATACATCTCACCCACCTGACCCTGCTTTCGAATGAGATATATTGGGTTTATTTGGTTTACTAAGGACTTGCAAGGTTTGCGTACATCCCGCCCTCCCAAACCTTACTGTGGAAGTCTTCACATAAATAGCTCATCTCCATTGGGGTAGAGGAGAAATTTGTGTATATCCCAATCACGCAGAGTGCAGTTTCGAGTGGGATAAATTGTGATTGTTTGACTTGGTTTTTATACCAAAGACTTGACTGCAAAGTTCTGACGGGATCCGATGCATTATTATCTTAACGTTTATGGAAACATCAATTCTATGGTTTGTGGTTTGTGCTAGAGGACATGTCTGCATATATCTTACCCCCATATCTTACTCTCAAGTGGGATATACTTCGTCCGTTTTTTTGTTTGATTTTGGAAAATTGTGCTTCGTGTTTGGTCTAAATCCGACTCCATATGCAGGAATCAAGAGGAGCTCCTGCTAAAAAACTAGCACCAGATTACTTTCTATGATGGAGTCATCCATGAGTCGTGGCACCGTTTCCGGTTAACCAAAGAGATACACATTTTGCAATGAAGACGGTTTTGGTTATGATACAAAAGGATTCAGTGGGTCGATATTAGGCTTGTGGCCTAGGGTCGTTTCGCTACCCCTTTTTCTTTTGGTAGCTTTTTTTGTCCATCTCTTTGCTCATACCATTGATTTCATTTACTTGTTCATGGGTAAGCCTTAGTGTGTATCAATTGTGCATGTAGAAGGTCAACTTTAGGTCACACATACTTGAACTTGAATTTCCATATCATTTTTTGGATTTAAGAACATCTGTATAAACTTCCAACATCGAACGTTTCGTCTATTAGTTACACTTTCAATGGCCACTCGTCACAGCTTCAAGTGGATCGATGTATTTGCTTCAATCACAATAAGGTAAAAAAACGAGACTTTACTAAAACGACCGCCCTATATTTTGTGGCAGATGACGAGTTTGCATTCATCTTGGCATAGATTCTGCTTGATTTACCTTTTGGTCAGAGAACAATCGTGTATCTATCTTACCTCATATTCTGCTTGCTATACCTTTTGGGTTAGAAAACAGGTCTGTATCTATCGTTTTATAAGAAGGTATACTGATTCATTTTTTGGTATTGAATTTTATAATTTTAATAAGATTAAAGCTTTAAACTTGAAAAAATAATTAATATTATTATTTTATTTTTATAATACATTACAGTTTTCATCCTTGTGGTATAATGTGGTTTTTCGTTTTGATCACTAAAATCTGTTTATTACGAATTTATCCTGGGTGATCAACTTTGTTATTGATTGGTCCATGCCATCGACGTCGTCTATCTATTATTCATGAATTGAAAGGGTAGTTCGGTCAAAATACAGATAAAATACGAGGTTGCAATGACATGATGATCAACACCATCCTCTGTTGGTTCAATTGCTAAAAACCACTCTCAATTTTGCTGTTGACTGTCGGCCACACCACCGTAAACCCAAATATGGAGAATATTTGTGTAAATTTGTTCGAACTTTTTAAAATTTACATACTCCTTGTATTCTAAACCAAAACCCTGAATATAAATATATACAAGATTGCTTTATAAACCCTGAATTTAAATAAAACAAGAAGCTGCATTCTTGCTATCTGCAATCAAGACTTCGAGGCCTTGAAAAGTAGAGAACTTGCTGCAAGGACCCTTAAATCTTGTTGGGTTCCTTCTCGTATGGTTTCACACTCATGTAACATTATAATCTTCTCCAAACATTTCATATATCAACTCATCTTTTTCGTATCGTGCTAATTCATTGTCAACCGTTGGTGAAAGACCTGCATGGAACCGAGACCTTCTCACATGCTTTTGGTGTTCCTTTGTATATTTATGGATTTCACCTCGGAGACATGGTCACTACTGGCCTACGGTCCTTGCAGATTACATAGCATATGCCAAGAGTTGCGATGTCTGCCAAAGGTTAGATTTCCAGCCAGGCAGATAGGTGCTCCTTTAAGACCATTGATTGTCGCTTTTTGAACAGGCAGAGACGAACACACCATTCCAACGACAATAGGAGGACAATAAGTAAACCTATCCCTCCCTCGTTCCTATATCTCTTACTTCTCATCCTATTTGATGCTTAAAGAAAAACAAAAGTGTATGTAGATTGATTCATAAAAGAAAGCCGGTGGACAACAAGCGACAATGACCAATTGGACAAAGCAGAATTCAAGATTTTCGTATTGAAACTTTTGTTTACAACAATGTTAGGTTAACAAACAAAGAGACGGAAGCAGCAAAAAATAGAGGAAAAAATGAGAGATACAAATCAGGGTACTTAATATTTTGACTACGCTTCAACTAATAAATTATCATATAAGTGGCACATGACTTTGCTTAACGAATAAGAGATGGAAACTTTACTAACATGGATCAATTCTGTAACAAACATCTATCACCAGGAACAAATTTCTAATAAGAAACCATAAGGACTAAAACCAAAACATATCAAACCATAGGTACTAAAATTGTAATTTACTCAAAATTTTAAGAGTAACTTACAATTTTCGTCCTTATAATTTAGAAATTTACAATTTTTGTCTTCATGGTTTGCAATTTATCGTTATTTTCATCCTTGAACCTACTACTTACTTTTAAGTACGAGAGGCTAAAACAACAAAACATTGTAAATAATAGAGATGAAAACAGAAATAAATCATAGATTCCAGTTGTAAATTATAGAGATGAAAATTATAAATTTAAAACTATAAGGACTGAAATAACAAATTTAACAAAGTACAGGGACTAAAAATGTAACTTACTCAAAATTTGTAATTTGTGGTTTTTTTATGTGTTTGGTTGGGTCACAAAACTGCGAGAAAGGGTGAGTTTGCAAAGGGAAGGCACAAAGGTACAGGTGGACAAGCAGGTCTCTGTGGTTCCCCCTCTTCGCATTCTTCCCAACATTCGTCTACTGCCCATAAACACACATCTTCAATTACCCGCTAAAAAGGTCTTTCATTTTCAAACCATAAACCCTCTCCCTTTCCCCCCTTTTCATCTCTCTCTAGGGTTTTCCCCAATTCCCGCTTCTAATGGCATCTAATCTCATTCCCTTATGCAGGTTTCTAACCAGTAATTCTTGTTTTTTCAGTCAAGGAACGGTTGGAAGACGAAGTTTATGGTTTTGGTTGGTGATCGATGGATGAGATGGCGGTGGATGCGTCTATGGATGTATCGGAGGTGAGATCCGGGAGTTTAGGTGAGAAGAGATCGTTGGAGGATGTAATCGAGAGGGATTTGTGTAATAAGAAGGCTAGAGGAGGTAGTGATCGTGGAATGGCTTTTGGTGTTAAGAAGGTGGCGGAGATGGTGCTTGTTTTGGCGACGATGGCGGAGATGAGGGGTGGTCGGAAGCCTACGGCGGTTGAGGTGAAGATGATGGTTGAAGCGAGGGAGAAGTTGGCTGAGATTTGTGAAGAATTTGCTCCGAAAGCTATTTTTCCTAGGGAGGCATTTGGGACGATTATTGAAGATTTAGGGCTTAACAGATTGAGGGAAACGAAATTAGGGATTCGTCCCCCAAAGATGTCGATTGCTGAGAAATTACAGCTTACAAAGCAAAAGGTGATGTTTATGGTTTGTCAGTTAATCAATTGTTGATTAGTTATCTTGAATTTGCAGCTTGCATGATTGATAGATACATACATATATGCATATACACACACATATACATACATATATATATGGTGGTAATCGTTTGAGAACCAGCTTATTTGTAAGAACTGTGAGATCCAACCATATGTATGAGTTCAGTGAGTAACCACAGTGGGAATTATCATGTCTAGGTTTAATGTTTGAAACATAAAAAACTCATGCCTTGGATCAATGAGTATTTGCAGTAATGCAGTATGAATTACCATGTTTGAGTTTAACGTTTGGAATAGAAAACACACTGGTTTGGATTCAATAAGTATTCACAGCGTGAATTATCATGTACGGGTTCAACATGTGTGGTTGTGAATGGATCTCATAGTCCTCACAAAATACAAAGTTCTTCCATTTATAGCCCCCTATACATACATACATACATATATATATATATATATATATATATA